TCACCACAAAGAGAGACACACAAACCTCAATTATACAGCATGCGTCAGAGTCAGGATCGAACCCACGACCTCTCGTATACCAGGCGAGGTAGTTAACATTTCACCACAGAGAGAGAGGCACACAAACCTCAATTTTACAGCAGGCGTCAGAGTCAGGATCGAACCCACGACCTCCTGTATACCAGGCGAGGTAGTTAACATCTCACCACGGAGAGAGAGACACGCAAACCTCAATTATACAGCAGGCGTCAGGGTCGGGATCGAACCCACGACCTCCCGTATACCAGGCGAGGTAGTTACCATTTCACCACGGAGAGAGAGACACGCAAACCTCAATTATACAGCAGGCGTCAGGGTCGGGATCGAACCCACGACCTCCCGTATACCAGGCGAGGTAGTTAACATTTCACCACGGAGAGAGAGACACGCAAACCTCAATTATACAGCAGGCGTCAGGGTCGGGATCGAACCCACGACCTCCCGTATACCAGGCGAGGTAGTTAACATTTCGCCACGGAGAGAGAGACACGCAAACCTCAATTATACAGCAGGCGTCAGGGTCGGGATCGAACCAACAACCCCCCGTATACCAGGCGAGGTAGTTAACATTTCACCACGGAGAGAGAGACACACAAACTTCAATTATAGAGCAGGCGTCAGAGTCAGGATCGAACCCACGACCTCCTGTATACCAGGCGAGGGAGTTAACATCTCCTAGCCACCGTGGTATCCTTCTTTCTCCTCACCTTCATACCTCCCTCTCACACCCCTCTTCTTTATCCCTCTCAATTCCAGCACCCCCCTCCCTCCGCATCCCTCTAAATTAACCCCCCCCCCTCCTCTCCATCACCCTCCCTCTTCAACCTTCTCAATCCCTCCCTGCCACCTATCCATCAGCCGATGCATCATTGGCGTCACAAGTAAAAGTGCTTGCAGTGTGTGAGATTAAACACGGACCCATTGTCTTCGTGTGCATGCCTCTGTGGTGTGTAGTATGTCACGTGCATGTTGTGTATCATCGCCATCGTGTTGTGGGGAGCCGTAGTGGAGTGGATAGCGCTGAGCTGCACTACGAGCCCAGCGACCCGAGTCAGATTCCCCACTCACTGCCACCAACATCGGTAACAATTATCTTAACCGGTCCTGGGCCTCCCCTAGGTCGACTCAGCCTCAAATGAGTACCTGTTGAGGCGTGGTGCTGGCCACCCACCCCCTCGTGTGCTGTGACGGCCTTCAGAGGTGCTCGCTAACAGCACTTGCCCCAACAGTCGGGCAAGGCTATGCGGAGGATATTTGTCTTTGTGTCACGATGCGCGCATGTTTGTGCGTGAGTACACGCCTTTGTGTTCTCACGTCATGCACCAAATTCGTCACGTTCTAAAAAAAAAAGTGTAATTATCTATCTGTCTCTCCCACTCATGCAGTCACACACTCGCATACACCAACAGCCAGTGGCGATCCAGGCACCACGGTGCTTGTGCCAGGCTATGTGCACCTTGAGGCCATCACGTGAAGTGTGGAATCCTTGGGCTGATTGACTGAGATTACTGGCAGTGCTGTGCTGCTCCCCACTGTGCCACCACCTTGCTGTGTTTTGTTCGCCCGGCGCTCTGCTCGTTGTTGTGAGCGCTCACTCCTCCTTGACCTTCGCGCGGCTGCCTCCAACTGCCCAGGAGCTTCCTTCACGAGCCTCCTCCACAGAGGCCACATCTTGACATCGCTGGTACCAAGTCATCAGCAAGTCCACTCAGCTCCAATATCCTCCCGTACCGTATCAGCCCATCTCTGCTCCGGCCCGTGCCGCGCCCATCTAGGCCCCTCTATCCGGCCAAACGGAAGCTGCTTGCCCATGCGGTGGCTGGGCAATGCGGGTTGCATGACCCAGTCAACACAGCCTCGCTTTCCGGAGGAACTCACTGATCGGATATTTCAATAATCTCTGAAGCTCCTCGCAACACAATCCAATTCGGATGAACCGAACAAGGACTCTGTAGGCAGGACAGCCCGTGCAGGTGATTTGGTAACAGGGTTTACCAATTGCAATCATATTGTTGCGGTTACACTTCTTTCTATGTTTATTCATTGTTGATTTTGCTCGGTGGCAGGGTGTCAATTTGCTTGGTAGTGGCCGTATGTGAGATATGGTCCTTGTATTTAGAATTAATCAATAAAACTTTATTTCAAGAGCACTATTCGTGCACAAAAAAATAATGTAACAGTGCTTTACAGGCATGAACAAGAAAAGTGAAATTGCAGGCAAATTTAAATCACGTTGTAGCACATTTCTAGCAATGTACTGCGTTACGGGATGCCACGAATGACATAATATAAAATAAGAATATTATAGTTGTTGATATTCACAGTTGTATTTCGTCCCTGCCAATCAGACTCGGATATTCCTTTGAGAGCGACAGGCCAGGCACATCCCACGGTGCACCACGCTGCCTACGCTCGACCGATCCGGAGTGAGATCCCCGCTGCCAAAATCCCGAGGGATTGGTCACGAACACATTGCGCCCAGGTCTGGGAACTCCTCAACAATCTCCACGACTGCCCCCCATAGCTGCTCGTGCAAAGTGGGGGCTTGAGTGTTCAAAGCCAGACAACACCGGGGTGGGGGCAGGTGCTTTGTTCATGCGGAGCCGATGGGTCAGGCCTCACCCTCTCTGCGGCACGTGCCACGTTGGGCGGCGGGAGTCTCCGACCCATTCCCAAGAGTGAGCAGCGATTCCCGGGTCATCCGCACGCAAAAACGATTTCCCGGTAAGGGAGCCATCTCTTGCGTGGCCCCCGTGTTACCCACCAGCCTCCCACTCTATCTGCGATCGTGCAACGCGTCCATGTGTGGGAGATGGAGCGATGACGTCATGCGCGTATGTATATGATGAGCGGTGGCGCAGCGGTTAGCGCGCTGCGCTACAAACCAGGCCTCCTCCTTCTCCTGTGCGGGGTGGATTGAGACGGCGCTGGATTGTGGAATCGTCGCGGCACCATCGCGTGAGATGGCGACGGTGTCGTGGTAGCGAAGCTTTTACTCATCCAGCAGCGGATAAGCAATGCACGGCTCGTGATGACGACAACGACGATAATGATGGCTGCCGCTGATGATAACGATGCTGATGAATTACATCTCTGCAGCAAATACTAGCCGTCGCCCAAACCGCACCCTCCATCACCACAAATGATTTTGTGGTGGTGCTACCCCTGCAGCCCCTGCAGCAACACCACTCCACAACAACAGGACTGATGCTCCTGTTGTTGTGGAGTGACTCATGTAGCCAGCTATGGCTCTAGGGTTTGGTGTTACATGCTATTTATGTAGTTTATTGTGAAAAATTCGGTCACAGTCCCTATGATCACTGTTACATTGCATTTATGGCTTTATTTTGGTGATTTCGAAAACGTTTTTTGGTTTGGCCATGTTTTTGTTAATTGTAATACGGAGTTTGACTGATGGCCTTAATCTTATTTGTCTTGTGGTTGTTGTTTTTGTTTGACTTGCATCCCACTGGGATTTTTGCACATAGCGTTGGTGTACGGTGCTATTTCAGAAATATTTTGATGTTTTTTCCTGGATTTTCTGTTTGCACAGTCACATGGTCACTTTAAGATGTTTTTCTTGTTCATGTTTTTGTTTTTTGTTTGTTGCGGTTGCACCCGATTTAAGAGCCGAATGGCTCACAGGGGTTTCCCCAATAAATGGAACTATCAACTATGGAACTATGAACTATGGAACTATGAACTATGGCTGCTGTTGCTGCATTGGCAGTGGTGCACAAACACGGCCAACAACAAAACAAATAAACTCAACACGATCGTCAAGAGCACTGCGCGTGTGTGTGGCCTTAAAAGGGAAAAAAATATAATCGACGAGGTTTCGGGCAATGGCCCTTCTTCATAGCAGAAAATCAGTTCATATGCTGTACATAATTTGTGCCATGTATAATGGGCATTGCCCGAAACGTCGTCCATCATCATCATCATCACACGGTCTCGTTGCAGCAAGAACACCAGGCGACAGATACCTCATCTGCACGCAGAGCCTCGCTCGTGCAAACAATGCCGGGCAATTCGCATCCTCATCCTTCTCGTCAATCAATACTCGCACGCGCGCGCGTGTGTCGGTGCATGCTGCCATCAGCTCAATGAAACAAGAATGCATATCCGCGTATCATTGTACGTGTGTGTACGTGTGTGTATGTGTGTGCGTGTGTGTACGTGTGTGTACGTGTGTCTGTGTGTGTGTGGTTATCGCACCGCGCTACGAATCCTGGCCACCCCAATTGGATTCCCGCTCACGGCCAACACCCAGTGATGATTATCTGAACCGGTTCTGGGTCTCCCCTAGGTCGACTCAGACTCAAATTAGTACCTGGTGCGGTGCGTAAAAAACATCGCCACTAGGGAGACAAAGGCGGCCGGGTGTGGTGCTGGCCACCCACGTCCCCGTATACCGTACCTGCCTTAATTGTTGCTCGCTAACAGCACTTGCCCCAGCAACCCGTTAGAGGCTGTACGGGGGATCTTTGCATATATGGGTGTGTGAGTGGATGCATACGGATGGATGCATCGGGATGAAGGCAATGGGTCATTAATTCCATGAGACGACTCTCGCTGTCCTTCTATCTGTGCCGTTATCTCGCTCTCTGTCGTTCCCGATTGTTCTCTCCCTCGCGCTGTGCCATTCCCCTCGCGCTATCATTGTGTCATTCTCCGTGTCGTTCCCTCTCGCTTTGTCATTCTCCATGTCGCGCTGTCTCTCTCGCTCGCTCTATCGCTTTCCGTGTAATTATTTCACTCTCTGCTGCTCTCTCTATCGTTCTCTGTCATTCTCTTCATCTCGCTCTCTCGTTGTGTCATTCTCCTGCTCTCTGCCGCTCGATTGCGCTCTCTCGTTCTCTCTCTCTCTCCATCATTCGTTCGCTCTCCGTGTCATTCTGTGCGTCATTCTCTCGCCCTCCCCCTCTATCTCATTCTCTCGCTCTCTCGCTCTCTCTTACCGAAATCTTGGCGAGTCTTTGAGGCATTCGTCAAAATCCACCGTGACCACCATGATGACGACGATGGCTTCGTTGTTCCACGTTTCTCCGAGTTCACCACCACCACCTCCTCCTCCTCGAACCTGTCTCCTCCTCCTCGTCGTCTTCCAGCACCACCACCAACACCGCCGCCGCCTCGGCCCCGCTGGTCAGGCGAGCTGTGAGCAGCTCAGAGCCCGCATCTCCCCCCCTCTCTCCCCTCTCTCCCCTCCCTCTTCCTCTTCCCTCTCCACCCTCTCCCCCCTCTCTCCCGCACCACGCCTGCGTCACGCGAATGCAAGCACTGTGATCACCACGCGTGTGTGTGCCCCTCTGTGTGTCTGTGTGTTTGTGTCTGTGGGTGCATGTGCGAGTCTGCGCGTGTGTCTCTGTCTGTGTATCCGTGTGTCTTTGGGTCTGTGTGTATGTTTGGGCGTGTGTGTATGCGTTATGCGTGTACAGTATATGCATGTGGTTGTGGGCGTTGCGTGTGTACATTTACACTCACAAAGACGTCCCGTGTAGCATTAACAAAATGATGGGGCAAGTGCTGTTAGCGAGCACCTATGAAGGCCGGCACGGCACACGAGTGGGGTGGGTGACCAGCACCACGCCCGGCCGCCTTTGTCTCCCCAGTGCTAATGTTCACACACACCAGCTACTCATTTGAGGCTGAGTCGACCTAGGAGAGGCCCAGCACCGGCTTATTCACCACTGTTATTGGTCGCGAACAGGGCGATCCAACGCGGCCCTTTGCAGGGTTTGCTGCGCGATGCGCTAACCACTGCGCCACCGCTCCCTCCACGCAGACGTTCAGCCTCTCCCCGCGGTGGATGGCGCAAAGGAGGCGAGCGAAGGATGCGAGGAAGGGAGAGGTTGGAGGAGGAAGATGGTGCGGGGCAGGAGGGGAGGAGGGAGCTGGGAGAGAATGGTGGTAGAGAGGGATGGATCTGCGAGGGGAGATGGAGAGCTGGAGGGAGGAGGAGCGTTGTGCTTTGAATTAATAATCATCAGCATCACCACCACCATCACTATTATTACTACCACTGTTACCACCACCATCACCACTATTACCACCACCATCACTATTATTACTACCACTATTACCACCACCATCACCACTATCATTACTACCACCATCACCACTATTACCACCACCATCATCACCATCACCATTATTACTACCACTATTACCACCATCATCATCACCACCACCAGCTTCGCTTGCGTCATCGCGTACCGGAATCCGATATCCACAGCGACAGCTCCGGGGTGGCTGCTGCTGTTGTTGTTTTGTTGATGCTGCGGCCGCCGTTGTTGTTGGCATGGGACACCGTGGTGCAGTGTTAACGAGTAGCGGGCAGCCCTTTACTGTTGTCTATCGTGTCTGCGTGTCCATCTGGTTGTTAACGCGCGTGTGGGGAGCGGTGGCGCAGCGATTAGCGCGCTACGCTACGAAACCGACGACTCGAGTTCGATTCCCGCTCACGGGCAACATCAGTGGTATCTAAGCAGGGCCTGGACCTCTCCTAGGTCTACTCAGCCTCAAATGAGTACCTAGTTCAATATGTAAACATTGACACTGGGGAGCCAAAGACGTTCGGGCGTGGTGCAGGCCACCCACCCCCGTGCCGGCCTCTATAGGTGGTCGCTCACAGCACTTGCCCCATCAGTCTGTTACGGCTATGCGGGGGATCGTTGCCTTTGTGTCTTGTGGCCTGGCATCCGCGTGCCGCTGGCGCTCATAGCGGCGAGGCCCGCGAATGTGAAATTCTCACAACGGGGCGTGATGGGATTCACATTGAAGAACGCCGTCGACGGAGGGTGCGGTCAAGCATGAGCGAATAAGCCAGCCCATCCATCCATCGTGAGTGGCTCATGTAATGGCATTGATTAAAAAAAAACTCAACATTCATTAATAAGTGTCCTTAAAATGATAAATATATTTTAATTTTGCGTTTGATGGCAGCAGCAGCAATGTGGTTCAGAGAGCTCGATGCCAATGTCGAGGTCTGCTCCTGCTGCCACGACGAGAGGGCTTCAGCAGTGAGAGAGTTCATGTCAATTATTAATATTAGACGAGATCTGGCGACTTTTAGACTGATCCGGTCACAGTAGCATGCGCGAGCAGCAGCTGCCCACTCATGACAATAATGAGAGGGGAAGAAAGGGGGAGTGATGGCGAAGCTAAATTGGTGACGCTAATTAAGGCAAATTAGGTGTGACGTCACTGCAGCCGGATGACCGCCTGCGGTGGCGAGATGTCAACTCCTTCGCTTGGTATGCAGGAGGTCGTGGGTTCGATCCCGACCCTGACGCCAGGCTGTATATTTGTAGTTTGCGTGTCTGTCTCTCTCCCCGCGGTTGCGTGGATTTTTCTCCCGGTCCTCCGGGTTTTCCCCTCCACATTTAGAATCAACATCGGGCGTTGAGAATATTTGGTTGCTCTACATTTCCACACGATGATAAGCCACTTCGTTGAGCTATCATTTGTGGCCAGGTCGCTTCTGAAAAAGAGCTGCATAGCTCAGTGGGGCCTTACCTGGTACAATAAATTTTTTTTATTTGTTTACTGCGAGACGCAGTGGCGGGTGGTGTTGGGGCAAAGGCAAATGAAGCAATGGGTTGGGGGGGAGGGCAAAGTTTCCCAAGGGGTCCCGGCCGGATCCACGCAAATAAATAAATTTGAATGCTGTGGCAGAGATATCTGGATCGTACCCGCGTGGTTAAGGCCTTCATCGAGCAGCGGGATCCACAGTGGGCTTCACATTGCAGGGCGCTTCACAAAAAATGTGAACACTTGTGAGAATTTGCAAGAACACCACGATGAATGCTGCTGCCTCCGGGCTCTGGAGACCACCTGGAGAAGATTCTAGGCACGCGTTGACAACGATGGTGAACAAGTGGGAGACTTTGTCCTTTTGAAGCTATTAACATTAGATGTGTTATGTTACATTGTATTATCCGTTCTCTTTTCATTAAAAACGATAATCCCATATAAGTGTTAACGTTTTTTAAAACACCCTGTAACTATATATACAATGAGGCAATGCGCTGGTGATCAATCGTGCTTTTGCACGCTGATGACCGACTAACTGCTGGTTTGAGGCGTGAACACGACACCGGTGAACCTGCGGCTTTCCACAGAGGTGTGGGGGGAACGACTGAAGGGCAAGAAAAAGAACCCCCGCATCGCCTCTCCCAGGGGGTCGGCAAACAAAATAACAAGAGCAGCCATTTGTTTCGAATTCAGTAGAAAAAAACAACAACGGCCCCTCAATGTCTCAAGAGCCGCAATGCAACGTGAATACGAGACGTCGGGGTCCTTAATAGATAACGTCACGAGGCGGTCCTGAGTTTGCCGACCCCTGCCTGCCCTTTTGGGGGGGGGGGGGGGTGTCGGGTCAAGTGCCGGCAGCGAGTACGGGGCGTGAAGGCCCCGGCGGCACACGAAGGGCCACAGTGCGGCCAACACCGCTCATGGCCGCTCGTCTCCAGTGGCGATGTTTACACAGCGCACCAGGTGCTCATTTAAGGCCCAGGACCAGTTTAGATATTCACCACTGATGTTAGCCGGGTTCAAAATGCGAGGGGTCGTCAGGCTGGTCGCGCAAAGCATTAGCCAACTGCATCCCACATATCACCGAAGGACTACGGCGGCCTTACAGAGATCACCGATATAGCCTGCAGAGGCTCTTGGGGGCAAGCGCTGTTCGCAAAGCACCTCCGAAGCGAGCACGCGGCACGCCACGTGCACACAGCGAGGAGACGAGAACAGTTTTTACAAATTTAATCAGGCTTTTTTTTTCCTCCATAAAACATGTTAAGTTTAATTACATTTGATGGAGTCGGGGAGACTGAGAAAATTAAAATAAAATGGGGAAATTTTTTAAAAATAGGAGGGATGTGGGGGGCAAGGGGGGGGGCTGCCATAAAAAAGCCCATTTAACTGGTCACGTGTGAAATAGGTCCAAACTAATTTCGGCGAAACAAAACAATTGTACGATTTTTTTTGCTCAGGTCTGAAAATCCAAACAAAACTAAAATCGGATTTCTGTACAGAGGGGAGGAGAGGTGGGGGGGTTGGTGAAAAAAAACTCAAACAACTAAAATCGGGATCTCCGGAGTTAGCCCCCACCCCACCCACCAACGCCACCCACATTCCACATTGGCATCGATCCTGTTCGCGGATGCCGCGTTGTGCACTCTCGCGAGGTTCATCATTCCCCGACCCTGCCCGCCAACCGGCGACAACTACCAGACGCCCACCTCGAGCTGCGCTCTTTAACCCCACCACTGTCTGACCCGTCTCACGGTCAAGACACGAATTAAACAAACGGTGCTGCTGCTAATGCACTGACCCACCCATACTGGACATGTGGTAAAAAAAGAGCGTCATAGCTAAGCGGATTCCTCCTCCGGTCTAAACACAAATGATGATCGCAGTCCACAAAACACGGTTAACAAAACAACTCAATCCATTCATCAAGAGCACCGGCCTAAAAGGAATATAACCTGTGTAGTACACGTTTGGGGCAATGGCTCTTCCTTCATAGCAAAGACGATCTCCCCATTGCGCGCAATTTCACCTCGATTATATATGCCTTTGTTTTTTGTTTCACGGCAGCGTTGCTGATGAACGCATTGAGTTGTTTATATATAAAGACAAGAAATCGGCCACTTGAATTGTTCACTCAATGCTTGCAGCCGGAGTATAAATTTATCAGTCCTCCATCGTGTTTTAAACGAATACACGGTGGTGGTGGTGATGGAAAAGCACGTCTGCGATTCAGACTGCCTTGGAGAAAAGGGGTTGGTGTATCGCGGTGACTTGTGTAAAATGGCAACATATTCTGGGATGAAAGGTGGGCACAACATGGCAGCTCAGCAGGTGGCCGCGTGCACCCACGTGTGTGGAATGTTATCCCTTTGTTACGCCTAGTGGGTCCCCCCCCTTCCGCGTACTCAAGATTGCTGGGTAAACATCGCAATGACTCGGAGAAGAATTTCCCAGATAAATAAATGGCGTTATGTTGTTCCTCCAGCATGCGACAGGCAGCCAGTTCTTGTCTACGTTTTAAGAAATAAATGCATCCGAGCCATGGCTTCAACTGGTTGAGAACTTGGACCAAGAGCGCTTAAGACAGTTGTGAACAGCACCTCACGATCAGCAGGAACGTTTTGCGTCTCCAAAAACAGGTGTCCCTCGCTTTACGCAAGGTTCGGTTTGTGCGATTTCGCGCTGCATACGCGGCTACCCTATTTCTACCCATAAATTCGCTACATTGCGCCGTTTCAATCCACTCCACATGCGGCGAAACAGTCGTACGTGGGACGTTGTGTGTGTGTGTACTTTACGCGCTACTCGACCGCACAAAGCGGGGGAAACCTGTATGAGCAAAAACACGTATAATTCCATCAGCCCATCGGCTTTCCGGCCCAATATTCTCTGGCAGCAGCATTTGTTTGAAGGAAGCAAACTCTGGACCTGTTTCGCCCTTCTGGATCTAATCAGCGGTCAGGCTCGTTTAAACTACTGCTACCAACATCGTCCAGTTGGCATTTATTCACCAAACCTGATTGCTGGTGGTCTGGGAAGCCGGTAGGAAGATGGACTAACAACACTTTTCACTCGTGCGTGGGCGGGGGGGGGGGGGCTGTGTGGGGGGTCAAGACGCAGCACGTAGTTCTGATTGTTTTGCCTTTGCCCGCGGCTCTCCACGGCGATACGGAGCAACGGAACCTCGTAGAGAGCACGATGTCCCGGGCGCGCAGCAGCCCACCTCCAAAAAATTAAATAAAATTTAAACATCGAGACCGTTATAAATACCCCCAAAAGGTGTTCCTCTTTCCAAACCAAAAACTAAGACCAAAATAACCACAACAAAGAGACTGTGACAAATTGGACCTACCCAGCAGGCTTTTCCCAGTTCAAATCCCACCGACTTAACACCCCGGCGGCCCCACTCTTCCGAGCCCACCAACATGTTCCACCATCACCAACACAATGTCTTGTGAATTGGAAGGAAAAAAATATATATCATATTTAAATACGAAGCTTCTCTATTCTGAAAAAGGGTGGGGGTGTAGGGGGGGTGTGGTCACCACAACCTGAAATGCCATCTTATTATTTGACAAGCTGCGTTCCGGACAGCAGTGGGGCGTGAGCGATCGGCCTTGCGGAGATCCTCCCGGGCTGCCGACGCAGGGCCCTGGCGCAGTGACATTTTATTTTTCGTGAGCTGCCCAACCGCTGGCATTCCTTTCTTGTTTTTTTCTTCTTCTAAATGTCTCCCAACCACTCAATGGCTTACAATGTTACTCTATGAAGGGCGAGCTGCTGCTGCTGTCAGTTGGGTTCCTGTGTCGAGGATGGGGTTTGGGGGGGGGGAACGGAGGGGATAGAATCCTTCATGGCCACATCTTTCCCCAACAGCAAATAATTTCACTTTCGGCGAGGTGCAATGCCCTATGAACTTTTATCGACGAACTTCCCTATTGCCAACGGATAACATAAAGAATAACAGCTGCAACTATTAGTCAGATTAATTCAACAGGAACAAAAATATATATATAATCTGGGCGAATGATGCTCAAAAGATGTGGCATGGATTTAACAGCTGTGCCGCACACACTGCTGCAGTGATCCATCCAACATATTCACTGCTCCCATCCGATGCACAATGTTCTTCCTCTTAACCGATAGAGAACTCTCCTCCCATCCGCTGCAGCATTTTCGTGTCATCCAACTAACAATATTTTACCGTGTCACTTACATAACCCTAATTTCATCCCAAGTAAAATCCACTCGCCCCCGCCCAACAAAGAACTATTTAATCCGATATGGAATCTTCATGTCGTCCTAAGTAGCAACCCTCGTCTCGTCTTTTGAGAAACCTCGTCTGGTCCGATACAGAACCGGTATCTCTATGCAATTAAGTACACTCGTCACATCTGAGACAGAGTTAGCATTTCCAATTTAAAACAATTGTCTAACCCGATACAGAACCATTTCATCCGATACAGAACCCTGGTCTCGTTCGTGTCACCACACTGGCCAATTCTTGAAAGTCATCATGTACCTACAAACCACAAAACACCGCAAACGGCTTAAACACTCGTCCGTAAAAAAAGAAATCATCACAACTGCGTAACTAATCGACGAGTCGCCATCGACCGCAACTGGGGTCCAAATACATTGCGATTGGTTTGGAGCTGCAGCTCTGATTTAAAAAAAAAAACAAAAAAAATCAAATGGCTCCTTATTTTAAAAGCTGCAAACTTCCCTGAATGTTAACAAGACTGCACCAGGGGCTCTCAACCAGCAGCCGGTTGCAAAAAAACCACACGGTTGTTAAAACTAAATAAGCTGATGATGATGAACAACGACTTTGCATGTTTTATGTAATCGGCAGAAGGAAGCTATTGGAACCGGAAAGAACCCCCCCACCCCTCCCCGTGGTAGTCAGGGCAAGGGCTACACGGTCCGTAGCTGTAGGGCAACCGTCGACACAGAGATTACGACCACATAGGTGCGTTGTTCGGCACGATGTCCGGCGTTCCGTAACTCGAGTGGACTTGAGGAATTGAGGTTCTCAGCAGGTGGGGGGCGGACACAACCACGGACAGCGTTGCCCAACAGCGCGCGACGCAACCCAATAAGTACGCCGGGAGAGCCGCGCGGAGAAGAGGCCATTGGGAGACCGCGGGCAAGCGCGAGTGAAACTACGCGCCAACACATCTCAGAGATGCCACCACCTTAGCTGCTGGAATCGCGGCCAGTAAAACATTGTTGTTGTTGTTGTTTGCGTCGTCGCCGCCTGCACACAAAAAGCACGATCGTGGACAGAACTGTCCGGCCCGGGGGCACGAGAAGAGAAATACTGAGAGGTGGATGACCCGAGGCACACAGACTCGGGACGGCAGCTTCGGCCGGCGCGGTGGAGGCAACCACCCAGCGGTCGTAGCGACCGGTTATCCGGCAACCTCGAACCCGATGCTTAAAATTTTGATTCAAAACGTGTTAACAATAATTAATGGCAACCAGAACAACATTAACTTGGATATCGCGAAATGGAAATGTTCAGTGGCGGAGGCACGTTTACAAAGGGTGGCTGGCTTGTTCTTTACGGACGTAATTGCTGGAACTGATTTTATCTTGCGATCTCGGACGGAATCGGGAACTGAACCTATCAGCGGCACAGACGACCGGTGGCGAGGCGGCGGTGCGGTCGACAAACAAAAACACCTGCTGTAATCAATGAGACCAGTGTGGCCCAGCTTTGAGCGTTTGGCGCGTGTCGATGCCCCAGCATCATCGGCGGCGGCGGGAAAAAGTGCAAATAGACCGCCACAGGTCGCCAATCTCGCGTCAAGTCGACGGGGCCGTCTCGAGAGTTGGCGGAGCTTAGGGGAAGCGGCCATCGCGTGACTCGCACCCCACAGGGGTCGTGCCGCGTTGTTTGGCGGAAACGTTTCCTCCACCTGGCCCCTCGCTTCGTTCCGTAAGTACGCGGCGCACGCGTGCCCCGCGTGTCGATCCGCTGGGTGTCCGTCGTTCGCGATCTGCCCGCGCGTGAATCATTTCGCTCACGGAGTTCCGCGGGGGTGGGGTGGGGCGGCCGTCGCGCACCGACGCTCGATTCTCGCAGCGCGTCGCTCGCCGTCGCCAAGATCGACATTTCATTGTTTTACAAAAAAATACCCGAACTTGACGCGGACTTCGGATTAGCACCAGTGCATTCGTTCTCGCTCGCTTGCTCGCGACTGCCCTTTCCTCCCCCCTCTTGGTCACCCGCACAGCATACGTTCACAACCCCAGCACGCGTGCGTGCGTACGTGCATGCGTACAGACGTGCGCATGTTCGTTCGTAGATAACGTCTTGCGACTGCGCGCACGCGCGGTTATCGTTTTATGATAACTCGCGTATGTAAGAGGCTGTCAAGACGTTCTGGGTACGACATAGTTAATAATAAATAAGATGACCGTTGTACTTCTTTATTTAGAGCTTATTTGTTAATTCATTCAACGTCCTTTATTTAACCACATGAGAGCCATTCCAACGTTCATTTGTCCGGGCACTCCGGATGTCCTCGATGTTACTTTTTCCACTGGTACAACCAAGCCGCACCGGCACGGGGCCCTCATGGTACCGGTGGTTTTTCCACTGGCTGTCTGTTGAGCCGCGCCCGAACCAAACCGTGAAACCTTGTTTAACCTATTTCAAACTACTTAAAAATGTATATTTTACCACGTAGGGCCCACTGAGTTCTATAGCTGTTTTTCAGAAGCAACTTGGCCACGAATGACAGCCCAAATGACGTGGCTTATCAGGTGGGAATTTACAGCAGCAGCCAATTACTATAAACGCGTGACGTTTTTTTTTCTAAATGTGGAGGGACAAACTGGAGAAAAATCCACGCGACCACGGGGAGAACACGCAAACTCCAAATATACAGCAGGCGTCAAGGTCGGGATCGCATCCACGACCTCCTGTATATCAGGCGAGGTAGTTAACATCTCGCCACCGTGGCACCCGCTAAAGATCCGAATCTTGCTCAGAATCGAGCCGTTCCAGGGGCGGAGGGGGTTATTAATCGTCTATGAAAATACCAAAAATGTATTAACATGCGACGTGAGCGGCACGGTTCGGGTGCTGCAGTGGAAAAACCACCAGGCGATTTCCGAGACTCGCTAGGCCAGCTCGGTTGTACAGAATTCCATGCAGAACCCCTTCTTTGGCAACTCCTTGAGAAAGTTGTCAAATCGATGCCATGCCCAGATTAATAAAAGGCCTCGCATTCATCTTACCCTCTTAATGGAGGGCTCGGGATAGTGCACTTATCATCCGATAACACGACACGAGGGCAACAGTTTAAACTAAAAGGTAAGTGCTTATCGGTGCATACTTTTAACGTTCAGCTCTCCAAACTCGGATCGTCCCCGCCACTATTTACACATTTCGCGTATGCTTGCGTACACACGAACCGCATAGTTGCACAAACGCACTCGGAAATTTGCCACGTCGTCCAGAGCTATCTAAAGCAAATCAACGTTTTGAATCGGTTTCGCATCGTCAGGGTTTACGATTCTAGGGTCTCAGCTGACCAAAACGTTGACCGCGATCGATCGATATTTTACCCTGCGACTGACATTCAAAAAATCCTCTGAATGATCTTGTGGGTTCGCTGTAGCAGTAACGGTTTAGGATAGAGCACGCACACGCGTGTGACTATGCGCGAGTGTGCAAATTCACAGCGGAAACCGGTAGCCACACGCGCAAAGCGAAGGACTGCCGATTCCCACGCTCAGAGACAGCGGTGCGGGCCGCTCGCCACACTCGCACCTGCGTGCGTGTGCGTGTCGGGGGTAGGAACCGGGCACCACTTGTTTGGTCACGGCAAGCTCACCGCCGCGGCCAAGCAGAACAGGCTCCATGTTTGTGTTCCCCTTTTCGAGAGCCGTCAAATAAATTCCGCGAATGCGTCGTTCATATTTTCTGCCTCAAAATGCTGAAGACCCCGTGACGAGATCTCTCTGGAAGTGCCAATCGACAAGGTTTTAAGCGCGGCCGCCAAATGTGAAAAACCAACCCTCTACGCCAATGTGGTTACCCGGGTCTCCAATGCACACACAAGATTAACGGTTCTGAATGAGCTCTCATGCGGTTAATGACACGTACCGACCGACAGCCCGCAACAGAGATGCCAAAAAAAACACAACGCAGTCCCACCCTCCCCCCCCTCCCAGGGGCCCAGCGACGATCGGAAACCACACTCTCCGAAATTTTCCTCCGCGACTCTCGCTCCCCCATCAATCCCCAATTGGTACAAACGCAGCGCTTGTCCCGCCCGCAGGCGCTCCGAGTACTCCGTCTCTGGAGCTCACGCGACACCCCACCCCCGCGCGGGCATCGCTTCAACTCCACCTGCAATCTTCAACTCGACTCCTGGGGAGATGCCCGTCGCACGGCGCGTGCCGAACGCTCGAGAGGAGGGGGGAGAGGCTCAACACGCGGGCGTAGCCCTCAACATCGCGCGTGGATTACGAATGGCTGCGTGGAAAAAAAGTAAACGTACGTTGATATACACAGCGCGAGGGATGGGGTTTGTGTTGTTTCCTTCCTGCTTCATTCCTTTTCTTTCCTCCCAGGTGGGCAACCGAGACAGACCGGGGAAAGTTGCCGACGAAGAGAACTGCGTGAAAACTTTACAACCCCTGACGAACGCGCACGCACGCGTGCGAGCGTACATGGGAGCGGCTGGTAGTGCACAGCAACCTCCCAAAAAAAGTCAGGGCCTCCACCGCCACCGCAGACCGGGCGAGGCGAGGAGGCTGCTTGGATTCCCCGTTGCCGACGAGGTGGAGGGAGGGGGAGGCGCGGCAAATGCCCGAGGATTCGGAAAAGCACCGCTGAAGTCGAGGAATTGTCTCTGGGGGGTTTTGGCAGACGGAGGGGAGAGGACGGACGGATGAACCGACGGGAAGGACGGGACTGAAGGTCGTGCCGAGGACAGGGAGGGTCAAAGGCAGGAAAAAATAAATGTATCGCTCATCGGGCATCATTTGAAAGGAAAAATCGTGGAAATAATACAATTTTAAGATACAAAAAATTAATCATTCAGGTATTAACAAGACGGATGAAGTAATTTTTTTTTCCTGCTACAATTGACTGTACATATATATAGTTTTATATATATATAATGTTATTGTCCTAATGAGATAAACAAAATAAAATTAAACTTTTGCGGTGTAACGTAAGGTTTTTTGTTTTGCTCTTTCATCGTTCGGGTCCAGCAAAAGGAGTCCACCGCCTTGCAATTCGCGGTCGACACAGCCCCAGCGCCGCCATGTTCCCAGCATGCCGAGCAGCAGGACTTCCTGTCGCCAACGAGATGGTGCGCGGGTGTTGGAGGGGGCCGCGGGGGGACGGGGGGGGGGGGCCGAGCTGGAGGGGTGCTGTTTGGGGGGCAAGGTCGGAGGGCGGTGGCTGGGGGAGCGCGCGTCACCAAAGACGGTGCTGGTGCAGGTTTCGACTGAGGACTGACCTCACGTCCGCTGTGAACCTGCAACCCACGACGCACACACACACACACACGTGGACCACATCACGATGACAAAGGATCCCTCCCTCGAGACCCCCCCGTCGAGCCTTCAACAGACTGTTGAGACAACCACTTCGAGAGATACCCTAACATTCATGCAAGGAACACAGTATGAGCAGACAGCGACGTGAAAAAGAGATATTAGCATGATCTTTTGCGTTCCTTAAATTACTATGTACAAGTGCTGTTAACGAGCACACACTAAGGCCGCCACGGCACATGAGGCCAGCACCACCCCCAGGCAACCTTCGTCTTCCCCAGTGGTGGTGTTTACATCCAGAAAACAGGTACTGGTTTAAAGCTGAGTAGACCTAGAGGAGGCCCAGGATGGGTTAAAATATTTTTTGCCACGGTTACTGACGCGAGCGGGAATTGAACTCGAGTTGCTGGGTTAGTAGGGCATTGCGCTAAACCACTGCACTTCCGCTACCATTGGGTTAGACAGGCACAAACACACGCACAAAGATTAAGACCCCCCCCCCCTCCGTTTTAGCCTCAGACTATTGGGACAAGTGCTGTTCGCAAGCGCCTATGAAGGCCGGCATGGCACATGCAGGGTGGTGGGTGGCCAGCACCACGCCCGGCCGCCTTTGTCTCCCAAGTGACTATGTTTACACACCATACCGAGTACTTATTTGAGGCCAAGTCGACCTAGGAGAGGCACAGGATGGGTTCAAACATTCATCACCGATGTTGGCCGTGAGCAAGGGTCGCCGGGTTCGTAGCGCAGCCAGCGAGCCGCTACACGACCACTCCCCACAACGCTCAACCAATCGCAAGACACACGCTCCAAATACGCGCACACACGCAACGGCCCTGGCCCACGCCGTGGCCGCGGAGAGAGAACGGCACCTGAGTGCGTCGAGCATCGGCAGGAGGTTGAGGAGCGCCGTGTCGCTGGGGTCGCTGAACCACGACTTTATGGGGATCGCATTGTCTGTCGCAAGAAACACACACACGTGCACGCACGCAGAGGCAGGCACACACAGGTATACACCGTGGGTAAGAACGCAGTCACAACTGTAAACACACACACACGTAAAATAGCAACGAATGCAAGTAGGCAAACTGGCGCACACACACACACAGCACAGCAACACGCACGAACAGCCCCGCACACACTATGCTTGTGAAGGCATGTGGCACAAGCACGGCCCTTTTGTCGATCCACTGCTGGATGAGGGCCTCCCCCAACACGCCCTGCGGGTCGTGGGAAGTGGAAGGTGTGGAGAGTAGATGTTGGGAGCATATTACAGCACAACGATTGATGTTTCTCCACTGCCCTCTGCTGACAAGACAGCCCCCGGCGCAGCACCTGTTATGCATAGGGGGTTGCGGTGGGCCGTCCAAGCACTCTACCCTGTTCGGCTTTCGAGATGTGGCGAGCTCGTGCGCATTTCAGGTGATTTTTCACTGCATCGCGCGTTTTCAGGTGCGCTTCTGCGGCCGTCTGGAACGCTCTTCCACCCGATATTCGGTAGCCACTGGAGCAATGTAGTTTTAAATCACCTACATTGAAAACTCATTTCTTTAGAACTGCTTATTATGGGTTTAGTTTGTTATTCTTCGCCGGCACCTCCGATTAGCGCGGTTGGCTACAAACGGTGCGAAAGAAGTGCAACATACACACGTACATAGTGTTGGTGTGCGCTGTGCGTGCTGTGTACATCTGGCGCTGTGCGCCACGCTTGCGTGTCTGCTGCGCATGCGTAGGTAAACGTGGGGGGGGGGCGGTTGGTTTGGGGGGGGGGGGGGCAGGACAAATTCAGTTACCACTCGCCACTTACATTAGCCGTGGCCGGGAATCGAACTCGGGGTCATTGGGCTCATAGCGGACCGTGCCACCGCTCGACAGTCCGTTGCAGGCTACACGGGGTGGGGCGATCATCATCGTTGTGTGCCGTGCACGCAGATGTCGCGTGCGTTTCATTACCTGGATGGCCCCGGTAAGCGCTGGGCGAGTTGTCCAGAATGACTATACTGGCCAGGTCTCCATGCACCGCCATCAGATTCTTCGTGTAGCTGCCCAGCTCCACAGTACAGTGCTGCGAAGGACGGCACACGAGCCAAGAGTTTAGGGTCACCGTCTTCTTTCGCAAGGCATTCGAACAGAAAATCAGCAGCGGCGGCAGCGGTGACAGCAGCGCCAGTGGCGGGCTACAATTGTCCGTTTAATGCTGCGAGCCATTTCAAGGTTATCCCTGGTGGTGGCCGGGTGCAGTCCACTTGCTCCACCGGAATGCGCGCGTCGTATCGGGCCTCACCTGTCTGTAGTATCTCCTCTGCAGGATGCTGCGGTTGTTGTCGAGCTTTTCGGCCACTGCGGAGCCGTAGATCTCCATGCTGGCCGTGAACACAACCAGCTCGTACCACTGGCTCACCTGTTGGGGTGGGAGGGTGGGTAAGGCGGCAGGTCGAGACACTTGCCGGCTTCATTCTGTGACAAACGGGACCACGCACTGTGGCAGGCCTACATAGCCTTAACAGACTGTTGGGGAAAAGTGCTGTTAGCAAGTAGCACCTATGAAGGCCGGCACAGCACACGGGGGGTTGAGTTGCCAGCAGCACGTCTGGCCACCTTCGTCTCCCAAGTGGCGATATTTGCACACCGCACCAGATACTCATTTGAAGCCGAGTCGACCTATGGGAGGGCCCAAGACCGGTCTTACATTGGCCGTGAGTGGGAATTTAATTCGTGTCGCCGGGTTCGTAGCGCTGCCCTACTGCTCACCATCTAAATGGACACAGGGGGTCTGTACACATACAGTATATACAGTATATAATTAGAGGAAGTAGCCATCACTGACCGACGCCACCCCTCCCAATCCCCAGCATCCCAAACTCCCCACTCCTGGGTGTGTCCCCCCCCACCCTGCACGTGAAAACCCCCCGGGGCACCCCCCCCACGCAGCTCCCCCCCCACACTGCTCCCCCCCCAGCTGCCACCCTCCCATGTGTCCACGCCCACAGCCCCCTCCCCCTAGCGCACGTCACGCATACACAGCTAGGCCACAGGAGGCCAAGCAACCTGGCAAACGTCCAACTGTTTCGTTTACAAACGTCCCTCTCGCCCGGCACTAATTAAACATAAATAAATCGCTAACAACTCGAAATGCTAAATTAGCGAACACGAGCAACGAGCACGCCGACGAGAGCACCTCGCCGCCGTCACCGCCGTCACCGCCGCCACCGCCGCCCCTTGCTTAGCCGCCGCCGAGGGGCGCCGGTGACCCAACGGCGGACGGGGTCACGCCACGACGACGCCGGCGTAATCGTTTCCAGATGCCGCTTACGGCACGCGGGCAAACGGCGCCCGGGCCCACTGTGCCGGTCTCGTGGCATTTGCTAGCTCGCTCCATTGCGGCGCGACACCAAACCGCAAACTCGTGGTCATTTTATCAGGTAATGCTTATTTTTCAGAAGTGGCCTGGTCACATATGATAGTTCAACGAAGTGCTTCATCACGTGGAAATTTATAGAAGCTAAATACTCCACGCAACCACGAGGAGAACATGCAAACTCATACTATACAGGCGCCAGGGTTGGGATCGTACTCGCGACTTCCTGAATACGAGGCGAGGAAGTTAACATCCTGCCACCGTGGCACCCCACGCCACTGAGGGACACCGTCACGTGGTCCACCCCCCCGGCACTGCGTCGTGGTAAAGCCTTGGACCACAGCCACAGTAAATCCGAGACCGGACCGAGGCTCAGACCGCGTGGGTGAATTCAGTCACTCGAAAATATCAACTGCTCTTCATTTCCGAGTCTCAAATAAATTTTGTTTTAACTGGGTGGTAACTCAAAGAGACCACGATGAGTTACATATGCAAGAGCGTCCGAGACTATTACAGTCTGCCAGTACCAGGCGATGATCGCTGCTGTGTGTATAAACCCAATTGAACGATGGGTGCCAAAAATTGTACCCTAATGCCGGCAAACACAATGGCCTACTCTTGCGAATCGCATCAGGGAATCTTTATCGTCCGTTATGAAGCAGACGTATTAACACGGTTATTACGCCATTATGAGATCCACTCTCCAGTTAATGAGTGAGCGCGCAATGAGTTCTGAAGCTCTGATATTGCCCGTCGTGTTCTGGATGTAACCACCTGTTGAGAGACCCATGTTCCACAAAATGAGTTGTGAATACTGCAGATTGAGTTCTGGATACGACTTACCGAGTTCTCATTCATGAACACTGAAGTGAACTGTGCTAGCTGAAAATTCAGCAGGCGTGTGGGTGCTCGGTGCATGTTACGATCGCAGGCTCGTGAGAGATGGCGATGTTTTGGGGAGGCCTTCATCCAGCAGGGAATTGATTATGGCCGGGCCAATTATGGAAACATCGATAATGATGGCAACGATGAAATTGATCTCATCCGACTACTACCAGGAATGTTCACGTTCTCACAAATGAGACTGAGAGACACCAAACCATCCCCGAACCTCAACATAACCTCGACCGAACACCGGCCCCTCAGCGAGTGGCAGCTGGAGCTAAGCTTTGCACGCGAGCGAACGTGAACCCGGTGGGCGGGCGGCACGGCGGGCCCGTGTCGCGCTACCGTCGAGAGCCGCGCGACGCGCGAGCTCACCACTTCGAGGAAGAAGTCGACGTGAGGCCTCTTGTGCACGAAGAACCGCACTGGGTGCCTGTCGATGATCACCTGCGGAGCGCGCACACCCGCAAACCGCTGTCGCTTGCTTCCCAAGACGAACCCCTCTTGTACTTACAGCTAATTACACACAATTAGGGCTGACATTGCCAATGCATCAGATCTGCCTGTAATGGGGATGGCACGATAACTCTCGTGAAGATGGTCCGATGTAAATTACATTTTCATATAAAGTCGTCTGGCTAATTAATAGGGACTAACTCCAGAGGCAACCGCCAAATTGATCACAGGGTTGGCCAAAACTTGGGAGACACAAATCAGAGTAAAATTGACAACAAGGTGTCTCAGTGGCTGCTAGTTTTAAAAGGGGCACCTGACCACAAATAAAACAGTGGATAGTAATTTTTTGTCCTTTATCGACTGTATTGACTGATCGTCGTGGGGGTTTTTCCCCCTCAGTTGCAAAAAAACTCCTTAACAGAGTTGGCCCTATATACCCCAACATAGGCCAGGCAGAGCTTGGGAAATTGTCAACGGTGGGGGCTGCCATTCCTACTCGTCTAATTTGTCCATGCTCCTCTCCATCTCTCTCTCAATCTTCTCAATGACATTGACTATTAATTTGATTTTAAAAAGTCCCGGCTGCGGCGCTCACCTTGAGAATGAAATCCGGCGGCGTGCCCGGCCGCACCATGGTGCGCGACATGCCGTCGTGGTGCGAGTGGATGAGCGTCTCGTCCAGATCCAGCACCAGGATCTTCCGCCGCACCTGGCCTGCACCGCCGGCACGGACGCGAGCGGCGTCACTCCTCGCAAGGGGCTCTCGCTCGTCGGCGGCTACGCCAATGTGCGTTCAACGACGAACTACTTTCTTGAGCTGCGTGGCTGAGCGGTACGATACACTACGTGGATTGATACAGTAATGCGGCGCCGTACCATCAGCTGGCGAAATGTTAACTACCTTGCCTGGTGTACAGGTCGTGGGTTCGATACCAAACCCAACGCCTGTATATTGGAAATTGCATGTTCTCCCCGTGGTCGAGTGGATTTTTCACCAGGACCTCCGGTTTTTCCATCCACATTTAGAATCAACTTGCGTTTAGAGTATTTGGCAGCTATAGACTTTGAACATGATAAGACACTGCGTTGAGCTTTCACATGTGGCCAGGTCACTTGGAAATTGCATGTTCTCCCCGTGGTCGAGTGGATTTTTCACCAGGACCTCCGGTTTTTCCATCCACATTTAGAATCAACTTGCGTTTAGAGTATTTGGCAGCTATAGACTTTGAACATGATAAGACACTGCGTTGAGCTTTCACATGTGGCCAGGTCACTTATGAAAAAAATCTGTATAGCTCAGTGGGCCTTACCTGGTAATATAAAAACAGTTTAGTGTAGTTTCATGTGTGTCCCGGCATCTTACTGTGTGTGTGCGCAGTACATCGTATATCGGCAAATATTATCGTTACATTTATGGGGAAATTGTTTTCGCTGAACGCGTTTTTCTCTTAAAGGCGGCACTTTTCAGCAACGCATCTACCGCGTTAAACGAGGACCACCTGTCCATTTCATTGACATACTTTGCCCATCTCTTGCCACAGGGGTTAGGCCATCAGATCCCTGCACCATCAGAGGAGCCACCAGGTGGCGCCAGTGACTCGCACACGGATCACTGAGCTTGAAGGCCCGCTGCAGCCTACAACACCTACCATAGCTTGCGGCAAGCCTACCATAGCCAGCCTCACACCCAAAAATCAACAATCTCCCGTTCGCAATTTTCAACAAGTGTCAAGTTTCAAGATTATTTTGGTTAGCCAGGTGAGAACTGAAGAGACCAGGATAAGTATCATTCGCAACGAGTGACCTGGGTCATAATAATGACAATCACGACTGGATACAATTGGTGTGGATTGCAGGTCCAGCCGGTGTGCTTTGCTGATAAGACCCAGGTGGCTGAAACCGGTCCCAAGAGTTTGCTTGCTTTTAAACAAATGCTGCTGGATAATATTGGTCTGGAGAACCAATAGAATGATGACTAAAACAAATATTGTGTTTGTATGTGGAGGCACAATACCGGAACAGAGGAGAGGTTATTGACGTATCTGCTAAACGTTATGCATGTTGGAAACGCATGATCGCACGTGCAGAATGATGCTGGAATTTGATCTTCCGAACGCATGTATGAGACTACGTACACACACACCCGCTAATTCTGAGCAGTGGGATTCCGTCGTCATTATTTAATAAATCATCATCACCAGCTATGGCTTGGGAGAGTTCCTTCTTTGGCTACCAATCCTTCATCAGTCTCGTCCATTCACCATTACGTTAATCTTGTTAGCAATAAGATCTTGCCCAAGCCCACTCAATTTTCTTGACAAATCATTTGGTGATGCTGCATTGGCGGTTGTGCATAAGCACAATTAACAAATTGAAACATTGTATTTATTGACCGTTCGTCGATAATGCTGTGTGGCCCGAAAAGTTTTTTTTATTGCCAACGTTTCGGGCAATAGCCCTTCTTCAAACCACATGAAAGGTCGATTTACCAAAATGTCGCTTGTTATATATTTTTCCTTTTAAGGCCACAGCATTATTGACAAATGTGAGTTTTAGACTTCTCAGCACTCCCCCGATGCACGTGTTCCTATTCTGGTTCCCGAATGTAATTCCCAAAATGCGTCTCTCCATGCTTCTTTGCACACTCACAGCTGCCATTCTATAGTGCTTTGTTCAGCGGCCCTGTGTCTTGCCCGTACAACAAAGCGGGTGATATGCATCGACTGCAAACGTTCTTTTTTTAAGCACGCCGGAATGCTGCTATTTCACAATCAACTTTTCGTTCGCCTCCCATTCAACGGATGTAAAGGAATACGTAAAGCCACGAAACTACATCTTTGTTTTGCACGTACGTAGCTCAACTGCGTACAAAAGTGACATTTGAAAGAAAAAAAAATCATTCAGGACCACGGACCCCGGTGAGAAGCCCCCAACCCCCCCTTTCCCGTGCGGATCCCCTCTACTCACTGAGCCGCACCCGAGACGTGGGCGAGAGGGGCAGCAGATCGTACCGCACCGTCTGATACTGGATAATCTGCACGCCAGACGCACACAAACGCATTGCGGTTTGTCAAAAAAAAAAATCACAGCCGGCGACTACGCACGGAAATCCGACACCCGATGCCCACGTTACAAAGCGGCCCCGGCCACGAAACAGTCGAGATTGGACAGACCCATGCAGGCATTGCCACAGGCCGAGCTGTAAGGGGGGGGGGGGCGGGTTACGAGTAGGGGGGGGGAAGTCGAGACAGGAAAAAAATTTCCATCCCGCAGGGACGGCAGCAGCCGCACGCGGTGCTAGTCGAGGGGGGGGGGGGGTCCAGCTTGGAGAGACCGCGTCCTAGAGATCAAACACAGTGTGGATTTAGGGGGCATGTAAGACGCAACTGCACTCCCAAGATGCTGGGTCAAGCGTCGGAACATGTGCTCCACGTGAAGAGGGTGGTCATGCATCCGAGGGAATAAACTGAATACGTACATAAATCAAGTGTCAAAGTACTGCCACCACACATACTTACATACACACACACAACGCAGAGCCTTGTGCAATTCCACGTTTGCGCCAATTGCGGCTAAAATGCTACCACCCCCCCACCCCTCGCCGGCTCCACTGCCACACGCTCACTCGCTGACGGTGACGGCAAAATTGGAGTCACAGCAGAGGCGTCACTTGCGTCAGCGCCGTGTCAGGTGTCGGATCCGGCCGTTCGCCCATCTGGCACACAGCAACACAGCACTACCGCCGCCACCACCAGCAACATCAGCACCACCACCACCACTTACAACAACAGTCGCCATCCACTCAGCGATGAATATGAGGGTGACATGAATCACGTGGCGGCGACGTTCGTGACGTCACCCAGTGCTTGTACCAGGCTAGGTGCACTTAGAGGCCATGCAAAGCGTGGAAGGCTGACTGGTAGGTCGCAGGGCAGACCGACTGGCAGATGCACTGCTTGTACTTCCCAATGTGCCAACTTCCAGCATTTTAGTCGACCGATGCTCTGCTCGTTGGTATGAGTGTTGCTCCTCCGTCCTCCGTTGTTGGAGGGCAACTGAATTGGATGCAACGGGCTGATTACTCCATCGCCATAAATTAAATTTCCAGTGGACTACAGAAAGATAAGCACCACCACCATCATCACCACTGATAAACACCACTACACTTACCGCCACCTCCCCCATCATCATCATTATGACGACCACCACCACCACCGCTACCACCGAGAGCAGTAGCAGACACATCAAAAGCAGCCGTCATCCATCACCACCGGCTCCACGCGGCTGCTGCGCCGGACCGCGGCAGCTTGGTCCACGACGATACGAACACGTGCAGCGAGTTGGAGCGAGCCCAGTTGCTGGTAGGGCATTCCCAAAATAAATGCCCGCCAACTACCCGCACCATCCCCTCCCCCCTCGACAACCCCCGCCGCCCCCCTTAACCGCACCAACCCCTAACCTGGTGCGGAGAGGGCCACGGAGCTGGCGGCGTCAGCTGTGGCAGGAATTCCCGCCACCTGTTGCCGCTGATTTTTTTTACGTACGTGGAAAAGGGACGGCCGAAAGCGCTGCGGTGGCCGAGAAATTCGTCATCACCCAACGGTGACCGGTGTTTCGACGCCGTACGCCAGACGGTGTGGCGACTTCCTACCGCTATTGAAATCACTTGAAACTGCGGTGGGAATTCCACTCGGTTTGTTGTTCTTCTTTGCGCGTGCACAGCGGATTATAACGGAGTAATGCGACTTACGCACCGAGCGGTCATTAATTGCACGTCATTCTTCTTAATTCCACCCTTTGGTAACAAAAAAAAGCAAGAGGACATTTCCACCACGTGGAATTTTTAAACCTCAGGATGATTATGGTTGGGGGGGGGGGTAACAAGCGCCAATTTCGTCGATTTAGAGCTAACGGCTATAATGTAGCCTGCTCCGTTGGTCAGCGTTACTTCTAGTAAGCATTTTTTATTTTAGTCATAGTCGTAAATCTAGCTGACGACAACAACATCATCATGTGGAATTACGTCTCTGGATTAGTCAAACGTCAGTCTATGGATTTCATTTGAGCGTTCTCTTAGTCTAGTCGACGAGACAAGTCAAACAATTAGTCCACAAACAGCGGTGCGAAGGCCGTAAAAAAAATGTCCACCCTAATATTTCCAGGGCAGTCAAGCGATTAACTCGGTCTGCATTTTTAAATATGTACCAAGCCAATTAACACTTTTGGTCTTCCTCGGCGCCTCGCAGTCTCCAGTGACGTTACTAAAATTATTTTGGGCTGCGTCTCACACAGATTACCTCATTTTCGCTGGGTCTTAGTCACGTTTCAACCTCTGGTGGGTTAGTCTTGATCTTTTCGAATCCGCTCGTAATCATCGTCGACTCAAATTAAACACACACTCACTCCGTTGACGAATATTTGCATCACTAATTTAGTTGGTAAAATCAATGCTGGCACTGGCTGGATTGAGGCCATCCAGCTGGGAATAAGATCCCAGCCAACAGAGATGACAGAACATCCCCTACTCGCTCCATTGACTCTCTCCAGGACATATTGCACCTCCCCCCCTCTGCCACCACCACCGTGCTCCTGCGAGCAAACCCAATAACCCCAACCGGATGGAACGTCCACTAGCTGCGACAGAATTTGGAAATATTTGTTATTTGAAGTGGTGGCCGCTGTGTTTAGCGCGCTGCACTATGAACCTGCAGGCCTGAATTCAATCCCCGGCCATGGTTAACATCAGTGGCGAGTGATATTTTAACTGATCCTGGGCACCCCCTCCATCACAAACCAGCGCTGACCAGCGTGGTGAAGTATGTATGGTACAACAACCCCTAAGACTGGCACGGCATGGTGCGGCCTTCATCCATGGGTCAAATTACAATTGGCCCTAATTTATTACTCATTATTAATTAGTATGTAAATACAGATTTATCTCAATACGCTGTAAATGATTAAGGACGATCGCATCCCAGGGACACCAGTGAAAACAGGAAAATATACCGAATATACTTTGATATTTAAGATACTTCACAGATAGCAGTCGATGCGATGGAGGTCTTGGGCACGGGTTTGAACAGTGGCAGGGAGTCGGCATCACAGATGGCTGTGGGGAAGGAATCATAGACTACGGAGGCAGAATCAGAGACGTAGCAAGCAGCCATTAAGAAGAGGTTGAGCAGTTTTCAAGGAAGGCTACAGTCACTCGAGTGGAGATGGGATATCGAGGCTGTGTGAACTAGAGAGAGAGACTTTAAAACCAGTCAGGAGCACTATACAAAAAACACACGAAGGGGGAAAAGAGTGAGATTACGTGGATAGAGGTATGTGGGCGTGAATGAAAAAGGCTCTTAAAAGTTGGTAAGGGGCAATCTTTGTAATCTACATCATGAGTACATTTGGTATGCGTTCCATTGTCATCGAGCAGGGGTTGGCAACCTGCGGCTCTGTACGGGCTGCTTCGTGACGTAATGTACATGTGTGTGTACGTATTCACACGCATTGCGGTTCTTGAAATATTGAGTCTGTACCGACATCGAAAAAAGTGGCTCTTCTCGTTATTTTTGCTGCCGACCCCTGTTAAGAGAGCAAGGCGATCACGAAGGCGCTATGTTTCATGGGCAGTCTGTGCTGTGGTTTCTCAGTAGGGGGTGATGTTACCATGTGTAATCCCAATGGAGTATTTTTGCAGGTACATTTTTTTCTTTGGCAAATTTGGACCACGACACCGGCACACAACGGGCCTACTCTTGTCGAATAATGTCACGTAATCTTTAACCTCCACTGTGAAGCAGACGGCGAATATGCCGCCCCGCTAGGCCGTGTCACCGCCCCCCTGTACTTGATTCGGGATTGGATTGGGAGCCAGGGGAAGGAGCGGAGGAATGGGGTGATGTGGTCTTGTTTACAGGGGGCTGTTATTTCATGAGCGTTTATTTTCCAGGAATAACGTCTCCACTCACGTCACATTCTTCATTAATTTGTTTTTCAATAATTGCTTTAAGTGATTTATAAATCAATGCATCTTATCTCCTTCTAAAGCAGGTCAGGTTTATAACATATACAAGCTGTAAACACAAAATGACCATAATTTACAGCCACATAACAGTGATGAAATAGACCCAGAGAGACGCGAAACGACATTGCTCTTTTGTTTGCAAGGGCGACGTTACAAAGACATGAATTCACAGAATATTTTACTAAATTTTAGAGTGCCCATTCTGATGATTGGTCCATTTAAAAAACAGTCGGGTTTTCCTCCTTAAGTTTACTAACTCGGGGGAAATAAAAACTGAAGTTGTCATCTGTACGCAACTCATCCCAGCAGTCTCACTTCAAGGGAGAGCCATGTTTGTTGTGGTTGTGACTGCAACAAATTTGGGTGGGGAGAGGCCTTCGTGCAGCATTGGAGTGATCATGGCTGATGATGCATGAAGGCTTGTTTTGTGAAATGGAATAAAATATGATTGGACCAAATAATAATAATGATGACTGTTATTTGGATGACTTATTTTCAATTACATCAGCACTGGCCCTGAGTTCCCAAAGTATTTTTGCCCAAGAAGCTTATGGGCCCCAAGGCAGGTTTCGCCCACTCCGCCAATACAGTTGTAGAACTCTTTTACGAGTTGAACGGCCGACCGTAAAAGGATTAAAGCGATGATCATGAATACAATGACGAAGACGATGATGAGTGGGGTCCACACTAGGCCTTACCGAGCAACAGGAAGCACAAGATTCCACAAAGAGCTCTCGAATATGTTTTCGGGTTCGACCGCGTATTGATTCCCACAATGTCCACACACTTTACTCCACACGTGCTGGGAGAAATCTTTATGGCGCCTTGGTGGCGAGATGTTAACTATCTCGCCTGGTATACAGGAGGTCGTCGGTTCAATCCCGACTCTGACGCCTGTATATTTGGAGTTTGCATGTCTCTCCCCGTGGTGGCGTGGATTTTTCTCAGGGTCCTCCGGTTTTGCCCTCCACATTTAGAATCAAGATGCAGAGAATGTGGCTGCTAAACTGTCCACGTGATAAGCCACTTCGTTTAGCTCTCATTTGTGGCCAGGTTGCTTCTGAAAAAAGCTACATAGCTCAATGGGCATTACCTGGTAAAATAAAAATATAGTTGAATAGTTTTATAACCTGAATATTCCAGTTGAGTTTAATAATTCTGAAGCTCACAGCTTATGGAGCCAAGCGTAAGATTTAATTCACGTCGTGCAACACGGGGTACACAATCTTTAAAACATTGGAGGGCTGTACGCCACAACCACGAAAAAAAAGCAGCGTTCCCCCAAACCGAGCGTGAAACTTCACAACCTAACTCTCTTCGACTTCCTGACCCCCAGCACCGAATTTGTTCACAGCTTGCTCGCTCCGCGTCAACCACCGAGTCCAATGGTCACTCGTCCGTTACGTCAAGGTATGGGGCGCCACAGGGGGTGGCAGTAGCAAAGTCAAACACGCACACACCCTGAGTAATCGTCAATAAATGCCCGACTGACCACTTGGATCAACCGTTTTTGCAGCAACTGGGGGATTTTCTCCCGTGTGTTTTTTGTTGGGCTGTGACGCAAGTTATTTGGCATGCGAGCGCATTTTCAGGAACTTTCAATAATGAACTTTCAGTTCAGTTCTAGAAGAACCCCTCCCCCCACGGCAAATGGAGCAAAACGTCGAAAATAACCTGAACGACACTCAGTACAACTTGGCACTTGCACACAATCCAGAGCACCTTCACACATGAAGCCCAACGTGACATCTACATCTCACCTCAACTACCAGTCATTCTTCTAGCGACGCATTCTGTTCAAGCCCACTTACTTTGACTCAGTTTGAATTGGGTCTGCATGTGCTCTCCAATCAATGAAGTTCTCCGTTTCTTGATGTAATTGCAAAAATGCACCTTTCCATGCATAACGGTGCCATTTTCAGTTTATATGCCAATTTCTTTGTTTATGGTTATAAACCACATGTCACAGCAGGTAGAATGCACCAATTCAAAACATTCTTTCTTCCTTAGGCCAATCTGTGCGTAAACTTCAATCTCTTTCCAAACACAGTCGTCAACAGGCATACAATGCAGGTTCATATGCCTCGGGTTAAAGTTAATGGCTAAACCTGGCTAGGGGTTAGAGGACGAGTTTAAAATCAGCTTTTGATTTTTCACTTTTCCTTCTTATGAAAAAAAAGGGAACAGAGCTTGGCTGGAGAACAAAAGAAGGTGGTTGAAAATTAACAAAGAAGAACTATGGTTAGGCATTATGGAAATATACCGCGAAGAACCCCTGGGTAACTTACGCAGGACTGTTGGGGCAAGCGCTGTTAGCGGGCATCTATGAAGGCCGGCACGGCGCACGAGGGGGTGGTGTAGTCAGGGCCCATGCCTTTGTGTCCCCAGTACTGATGATTACACACCACAGCATGTACTACTCATTTAAGGCCAAGTCGATGTAGGGGAGAACCAGGACCGCTTCGGATAATTGCCACTTATTATCTGTACAAAAACGGCTATGCCACTGCTCCCCACTTGCAAAAAACACGTATAGACACCCATATATACATATATGTTAATAATCACTGAATGGGCACACCAGCAGATTCACATTTGCAACATCATAGCATGAGTTCACTTAGTTCAATTGTTCAACGCAGGGTTATATAAGGAAACGAAGCCATGCGAGAGCAATGTGGAAATGTCACCAGTAGGTCAGGAAGTGATGTGCCGAGGAGTACCGCTCAATGACTGTACCCATGGGGAAGCTTTGATAAACAATCACACTGCACAACCACGACAGCCACACGAATACGTTCCCGAATATCATGTGTTCCTTTTTCCGTTCCACAATATAATTGCAAACGTGCATCTTGTATGTATGTTGAACTTCTTTCGCACCGTGCGTAGCCAAGCGTGAGGTTGCACACTTTTTAAGTCGCATTGCCATTGTCTACGTTAAGGACTGGCAAAGTTTCTGAACCACGTTATAGAGGTACATTCACCGTCCACTTATAAGACCCACACACCAGATTATTGAGTGGTTGCTTGTTTGAACTAATACAAAGCAGGTGAATTAAAAATAACATTTTTTTAAACCGAATCTCTGCTGGTACTAACTGTCCCACATTTTCATCCAACCACTAACCTTCCTTGGGTTTCAATTAATGAAATGTTAAGGGACATGTATTTAGTGTTCATGTAGGGTTAAGGGGTTAGGTTTTAGTGGTTCGGGATATGGTTAGGGTTTACGAATCAGAGTGAGTAATGGTTACATTCCTGTCAACCGCTCATCAGTGCCCACCTTATTAAACCAATTCAGGCTTTATTGGTCACCCTGTACCCTTGTAAATCTCAACGTTCATCCTACAAAGTCCCATGACAAGGTAGAAACACAAACAAATAGACATTTATTTTATATTTTGCCCGTATTGAAACGGCTGTACGCCGTATGGACCTGAAAACTAAATTTCCCTGTACAAGAATACGGGGTAAACCGTATGGGTTGATAGGTATATGGTTAGGAGAGTAGTTGATACTTTTACAAAATATATTTTACTGAAATAGGAAGATAGACATTTTGGTTGACTGGTTTTCTTCTAAGCATTCAAATTAAGATGCACACATAACTCATTCATGATTCTACACAAACTCGGCTACAGATACAACTATATACGCATACTTTTGGACGTACCATCATGTCTAAACGCACACGACATCAAGTGTACATACAAGGGTACAAACATGTACTGTACTCCAAGTTGTACATAAGCACACACACACACTATTACAACTGTACTTGCTCACAAGTACACACACTGGTGTACACTCACACGGCCGTCACGCCACACGAGCAACGGTGACGTCATCGCAGAGCGTCGTGCCAGGCTAGGTGAACTTCGAGGCCACGGGAAATGTCCGATTGAGATGAGTGTCAGATGCACCGTGTGCAGTTGTTCGCATCCCCTAAGGCGCGCGCACTCCCAACACGTACACAGATGCCTCTTACCCTTTTGTCGACTAATGGCTACAAATGCCAAGTGCGAGCGCGTATTAACTTCCAAGTCCCAACACACACCACCACCACCAATCCGCCATGGTCAATCCACTGCTGGATGAAGGCATCCCCAAGGAACGGTCATCTCTCACTTGACAGCGGTGTGGTAAATCACCCAAGGCCTGCACACGAGATAACGCCGTCGCCGCCCTCTCACACACACACACAGCTAGGACACACTTCACAAGCCACAACGGAGTTACGTGGCATTCGTCGTCCTGCAAGGACGCTCTTTTGCCGGCCGCTTTCACGCGCAAACACAAACCTGAATAACACAGAAACCTCCATCACACTGTGTGCCGACAACGTGCACAAAATAACAATCGTTAAAAGCGGCTTCCCACGCAAACGGGCCGGGCGGCGGCCTCGACCAGAAAGTTTTCAATCTGTGCATGTTAACCCACTGACAAATAGATCAGAAACGTGGTGGTGAGGGGAGGGATGAGCACGTAAAATGACACGAAAGACGTACGTGGCGAAAATGGGCACAGAGACGCACGCACGCAACGGTGGACATTCCACGTTCGTATGGCAGGTGGCATATTCGAGGAAGCGGGAAGAGAGATCGCGCCCGGGGCCTGGTCGCCTACGGACCCCCCCGGCCTTGCCTGCCCGCCCCTACCCACCGTCCGGATCTGCCGACGGAGGACGTAGAGCACGAAGCTCCAGGCCTTGAGCAGTAACGCGTAGAGCTTGGCAACGGCGGAGATGAGCGTGCGCAGACTGAGCAGGAGGTAAGTCTTCATGACGAGCGCGGCTGACGCCTTCGCCTCTCGGCCGAGGTGAGACGACATGGAGACGGCCGCTCCGTGGCTCTCACCTCCTCCTCGACACCGCCATCTTCACCCCTCCCCTCCCCCAGGAGTCCCCTGCCACGACTTCCGGCGAGCCCGGCGGAGTGAAAGGAAGTGACGTATTTAGTGAGGAAAGCCCCTCCCATCTCCCCCCACACTCCCCTCCCATCTCCCCCCACACTCCCCTCCCATCTCCCCCCACACTCCCCTCCCATCTCCCCCCACACTCCCCTCCCACCTCCCCCCACACTCCCCTACCACCTCCCACCACACTCCCCTCCCACCTCCTCCACACTCCCCTCCCATCTCCCCCACTCTCCTCCCATCTCCCCCCACACTCCCCTCCCATCTCCCCCACACTTCCCTCCCATCTCCTCCCACACTCCCCTCCCATCTCCCCCACACTCCCCTCCCCTCTCCCCCACACTTCCCTCCCATCTCCACACTCCCCTCCCATCTCCCCCACACTCCCCTCCCATCTCCTCCCACACTCCCCTCCCATCTCCCCCACACTCCCCTCCCATCTCCCCCACACCCCCCTCCCATCTCCCCCACACGGTCCTCCCATCTCCTACACACTCTCCTCCCATCTCCCCCACACTCCCCTCCCATCTCCCCCCACACTCCCCTCCCATCTCCCCCACACTTCCCTCCCATCTCCTCCACACTCCCCTCCCATCTCCCCCACACTTCCCTCCCATCTCCTCCACACTCCCCTCCCATCTCCCCTCCCATCTCCTCCCACACTCCCCTCCCATCTCCCCCACACTCTCCTCCCATCTCCCCCCACACTCCCCTCCCACCTCCCCCACACGGTCCTCCCATCTCCTACACACTCTCATCTCCCCCACACTCCCCTCCCATCTCCCCCCACACTCCCCTCCCATCTCCCCTCCCATCTCCCCCCACACTCCCCTCCCACCTCCCCCCACACTCCCCTCCCATCTCCCCCACACTCCCCTCCCATCTCCCCCACACTCCCCTCCTATCTCCCCCACACTCCCCTCCTATCTCCCCCATTCCCTTCTATCTACCCCCTTCCATCTCCCTTCTCCTCCCGGCCTATTTCATGAATGCGTGATTGGGCAGAACTCGTAGTACCCGGAGAAACCCGACGCATGTGTGGGGATAACACAGAAAGCTCCACTGAATTGGATTCAATCTGTTACCTCACATCCCAGTGCGTTTCACTAACTATGCGTGATCCACCAACCCTTGCCTCCAGTGATGCGTCACTTACGTCTCATCATCCGCAACATCGCAGATAAAAAGAACGCTCATAAAGGCCCACAATCCACAAGAAAAAAAGACACGAATATAGTTGTTTCAAACAGATGGAAATCCAGTGCCATTTGAAGAAAAAAAGGCGTAAAGTTTGTCTCTTTTGACTTTTTATTTTTTTTATAAATAAGGTATCGTATGACAAAATGCCGCAACAATAAAACCCCACAATCATTAAGCCGACACAGTTGAGATTCCAAGGGTAAATCTAAACTAAACTTTTTATTATTATAACAGGTCAGGCCTCACTGAGCTATGTAGCTCTTTTTCAGAACAACCTGGCCACAAATGATAGCTCAACGAAGTGCTTATCATGTGGATATTGATAGCAGCCAAATGCTCGAAATGCATGTTTTTAAATGTGGAGGGAAAAACCGGAGGAACCCAGAGAAAAATCCACGCGACCACAGAGAGAACATGCAAACTCCAAATATATGGGCGTCGTCTGGGTCGGGTTCGAACCAACGACCTACTGTACACCAGGCGAGGTAATTAACATCTCGCCACCGTGGTGACTAAATTAATTTAGTCCACGGGCCAGAGCAGTAACTTATGCCACCTAAGGCATCACAACTTTAGTCGTTCTGTCTGATTATATATTTTTGCATATGGCGAATGAGATTTGATAACCCCACTCATGTCAGTTATCACAAAATTCACTCTTACTGACCACATAGAGGAATGGAGCCAGTAACGTTAAGCAGCATCAGCTGGTACAGGACAAGTGAAATATCTGGGTTGCACCCGCGGACTAAATAAATCAGGACCTCAAGATTTAGTGGTGATGGTCTCAGCACGGCCACGAATGACTACACAAAATAAACACATCACATTAAATTTGGCTTGTTACTCTATTTTGCCGATTCCAGCATTGACCACTTGATTTTTTAAAGAATAAACTCAAAGAGCATTCATTTTTTTCAGTATTGATTGCCATCTGACAAACACCGTTTGTGCTCTCGGCATCATCACACGGGACAAAGGCATTCCCATTTGTAACTCGCAGAGAGCAGCGTAGCCTCCTCCTACGTTAGAGAACGGTTTTTCAAAGACGTGGTTACATAACTACTCTTGCACCCTTTAAATGCCTCCCATCCACACTCGGGGCACTGTACCTTGTCAAGTGCCCGCTATATTTTATAAATTCACAGAGATGTAATTTTGCCCAAATTATGTGAAAAATGAATTTATCTTGGTGGCTTATTGCGGATATCATCATCAACTCGCCACACTTGAAATCTCAATTAAAACCACCGGTGGCTAAAAACCTGGATTCTCAGGGGTGGCAGCTCAGTGGCCCTGACACGACCAATTTTAATCTGCCTGAGCTAGAGCCACCACTGCCGTAGGTTTTCACAGTTGTGCCGATGTGTTTTTCAGATGCAGCGCGACTTGTTCGGCCCGAAGTCCGACGTTTCACTCCATGTGATGGGACCTGGGAGCTTCTTCAAAAAGGTTGAGCTCGAACTTCATTTCCTAAACAAGAATGTCCCCTTCCATTGTTCGAGCAAAACATCGGACATCATGCCAAACAACCCGCAGTACAATCCGGAAACACATCGAAGAGTTACTCCGCCACCTTCGGCACGTCCAATACATTGGAAGTCAATGGCTGACAAGCTGAACTCTCGTTTACATCGCTCGCTCGCTCACCCGCTCATCATCATCATCCGCCCCTCCTGCCCCGCTCGGCGCTCAAATGTCCAGGTCATCGTCCGGATCCTCGTCATCGACGTCGTCGGCATCGTCGGGGCAATAGAAGATGCGGCCACCCCCTATTTGGGTCGGAGTCGCGCTGCCCCCCGGGGTCAGCAGATCCTGCTTCCTGTGCGGGCAGAATACAGAGAGGCATGGGAGGTCTGACAAAGACACACTTCTGTTGGTTGGGTGACACCATTCTGACTTCTGCAGTTGATAGGTCCCGAAGACCAGTCCTCAACCTCAAGGCCGGCTGGAGGACAATTGATCAGCTTTGGCCCTCGGTCTCAGGGGTGCTGCCTCAGTGCGAGGACTTGGCATAGAGGCACCGGCCCTGACAGTGACCTCAACCTATAAGGCTCCCGGCCTTGGTCTCGTCTTGACCTTTTGTGTTTCATCTTTGGCCTCATGGGTCCTGGTAATGAATCCAAGACTGCACCTCGTCAGAACTGGGCTCCAAGTGGTCGGGTTACCTGGCCCATGCCTACTTTGACCTCCCTGCCAGCCAACTTTTGCAGGCCCCACTACCCAACTCCTGCTATGGTCAATGACTGACTCTTGCTGCTGGCTCTTGGCCTGCACTCATCTGACCCCAGGCTGTACCGTGGCATTGCCCCTTCTCTCATTCACACTCGTACATCCCCACCACCACTACACCCCTGTGCATGGACCAACCCTTTCTTCATCGAACCGCCTTTCTCCAGCGTTATCCCTCACTCCGATCCAGTTTCTTTTGATGCGGTTGAATTTAGATGTATAGGTCGAGCCTGCTTTTGTGAGTTATTTTATTTGTTGTGGTGGTGGTGAAGTTTGCTTTAAGGGCTGTGTGCCTGCACCGGACGTGTGTAATGTTTATTATATTTGTTCTCTCTTTAAGAAAGTGCGTTTGATTGATGTGTTTTTTGTTATTTGTGCTTGTGTGCACCACTGCCAACGCAGTACAGGGACTCCTCTACTTACGAACGTTCGACTTACAAACTTTATGAGATACAAACAAACCTGTCCGTATGTCCAGTTGCCTGTTCGGACCGAGAGTCGTAAGTTCAACCGCCGCGCAATAGATGGCGGTGGTGACATCTACATCTGCAGAACGTGAAGAACCAGTGGTATCTGCACCTACAGAAGATTATATAACTTTAAAAGCCATTCCCCGTGTTTAGTGTATATGACGTACAACATGTTTGGGATCCACAGGAGTAGAATTGGACTTACGAACAAATAGACTTACAAACAGACCTCTGGAACCTAACTCTTTTGTAAGTAGAGGAGTCCCTGTATCACAAACTAAAAACAACCAGATATATCCCAGCTGTAAATGTGACACTGGTGAGCAGAAAACGCACTGCTGGGCGGAGAACTGGTACGGCAGGGCTACACGGCCCCGCGCCTTCCGCTCGTCCTCCGTGAGCCGGAGGTTAAAGGTCAGCTCGGCAGTCGGGTCACACTGCAACCCACAGAGCAGAAGGCACACGGCTCAGCACACAGCTGAACACACAGCTCAGCACACAGCAGAGCACACAGCAGAGCATTAAGCACAGCATGGCACACAGCTGCGCTTGTTTCAGTTGGTCAGGATGGTTGTGCGACTCACCACAGGTGCCTCGCCAGAATTAGCGGTGGTTGCTCCACCGGACCTGGCACCATCCGTTATCAAGCGGGACTCGAACCCGTCGATCACCGCCATGCGCTCCTCCTGCAGCAAATTGTTTCGTACGACTTCAATCATCATAATTTATCATGAACATATTCGTCAGCCATCATCAGGAATTTAGGTGGTTAGCTGTTGCACTGCAAAAGCAGTATGGTGCAGAAACTATAATTGTGATAACTATGCTTACAATCAGGTGCAGCTCTGCAACTGCTTGCTCACGCAACTGTTAGTAGAAGGGCCTCCACTCGACAGAACTTTGGAGAGCTCTTCGAGGGTATTTTGACCTGCTCTTCCACGCTGGGCAGATGTCTTAGAACAAGAGGGAATTCCTGAACTTTGCTTCACCGCATTCAACCTGCCGGTCTCTCAATTGCGGTATTACCCACGTATACTGCTGGGTGGACAGAGGCGATGTGGCGGAAGGGCTTGGGGATTCAACAAACTAAACTTACCAGCCGCACAAAAGCGACGAACCTACTACGAGCACCATTGCAGATGCCGGGCTGTACCTTTACCACCTCTGATTAGCACAGTTCGCTGCGTAGTTCAACCTCTGACCACTGACCGACACTCACCAGGCGAACGACCTTGCCACTCCTTCGCTTGTGCAGGACGCTGACATCGAAACAGGACCGCGGGGCCGCCTGACCCGACCCCGACGTTGACCCCGACCCGGGCGCGTGCGGAAACGCCCGGGGTGGAGCGGGGGTGAGCGTGAGCACGGTGCTTGCGGCGTGGCGCACCGCATCCGCCGTCGAGCCCTCCGCGTGCGCGTCCCCATGGAGCAGCGCCACCACCTGCCGCACCTGCACACCTGCCCAGGGGTTGAGAAGTCGATGAGAAGGTCGATGAGAAGGTCGACGAGAGGACAAAAGCTCGGCTACCAGAGGAAATAGGGACAGCGTCGTATGTTTTTATGTATGTTGCTCTTCTTTCACACCGTACGTAGCCAACCGTTCTCATCGAATGTGCGGGGGAAGGACAACAAACTGAACACAAAAAGCAGTTGTCTCAGGTCGCAGCCGAATATAACAACAATTTATGTCCATAGACTGCAGTGGATAAACGGGGTTAAGGTACATTTGTTGGGGAATCTGTGTTGTGCTGTCAAGCGAATTTCCTCGACACTATAAACACAATTTGTCCTCGAAATAATGCGAGTGGATAACTGGATATATACCACGCCTCTCGTATTAACAGCGTGTTTGGGAAACCATATCTTTTTTTACGGACACCAATTACCATTTGCATTCCTGAGATATTTATTTTATGGCATGAAAAGCCACAGTGACTCTATAGCTTTACACTCTGCCCTACTTGTGTTTGTATACAACAGGAATTGTTGAGCTCTCAGAAATAAATCACACGCTGTTAATGGGATAAATATGGTCTTCGTGGGGGGTTTGGGGGGGAGTGACTGCCCTCTGCCCCCCCAGGTTCCCATGCACCTGCTATTGTGTTGCTGTCACAGGCAATAAAACCATAGCTTAGCACAGTGGTGCAAAGTCTCAAACACCTTCAGAGAATTATGGTATTAACTATTTAAATAAATAAATACGAGTAGCTATATAAGTTCATGTGTAACTATGTACGTTTATGGGTCTCCTAAGAATGTATGAAAGCGTGTGGGTCTTTCAGTAAGTCTATGGGTCCCCCTAGATAAGTGGATAGGTCTCTTTATATATTCGAGTATTTGTAAATCTATTGGTTTTATATTAAAGTCTCTGCCGGGTGGTGTTGGTGCGTACCTGTAATCTAACGCTGTGGAGGCGAGGGTTAAAAGATCACAGAAATGTCTTTCAAATTCCCCAGGAACTAAGGCTTAAATTCTGACAGAGTATTTTTATGGGTTGCTGGTAGACTGGACTAGGCGGCACATGTCTAGTAGCCACAGCCATAGCAAAAGGGGGTATTACTGGATGTTGGTGCGCCATGGTGGCGAGATAGTATACAGGTCGTGGGTTCGATCCCGACCCCGATGCCTGCTGTATATTTGGAGTTTGTGTGTTCTCCCCGTGGTTGCATGGATTTTTCTTCGGGTCCTCCACTTCAATCCCCCACATTTAGAAATATGCGTTTCGAGTATTTGGCTGTGATAAATTTCCAGATCATGATAAGCCACTTTGTTGGGCTATCATTTGTGGCCAGGTCGCTTCGAAAAAAGAGCTATATAGCTCAGTGGGCCTTACCTGGTTAGAATAAAAAATTGTTTCATTTAGTGGTGTGTCGGGTGCAGACATTTTCTGGGTGGCTAACCCGGACAGATCCAGCTGAAATTAAGCCATGCCCGTAACTTCTTCCGGGACGCAGCTTCACCCGACCACTGATCAGGGGGCCCTCACCGTCATCGTGCCGCCGATCGGCGAGGGCTCGGAGGCGTGACAAGACACGGGGCCACCCGGCGTGGAGCAGCAACGGAGACAGCGAGTCCAGAACCACGCACAGCGGCCCCCGGTCCGGCCCGGACGCCCCCCCAACGGCCGCCCGAAGGTCGACGACGCCGTGGGCGTGCGGAAAATTCGGTGCTTTCGGCGTCTCCGGAATGAGGGCGTCAGAACCCGTCCAGCCCAGCGGGTCGGAGAAGCAGTCGTGGTGGACGAGCCTGCCGCAGCACGACCAGACACGGCGCGACCGCTTTCGTCACAACGCGACGTGCCGATCCGGTGCGTGGTTTTAAAACGGGGCTAGCTTCACGGGCTGTCTGTGCCAAACAGCGGGCACATACATTACTTCCGTGGTATATTGCCTAGTGACACGACGTCAGGTACGTACTAAGGATCCATAATCCGTTTACGATGTTTATTATTTGGTCAACTGTCTTGGAACATGTTATGACTATAGGTCTACCACGTGACATCCAGAAATGTGATGAACCGCCACGATTTATTTCCCTTTTTAAACGTAACATACATTACACCGCGAGAACAAATTAGCATTCAAACAACGACGGATATTATTATGGTTATTTTTGTTGTGCTATCGATTGCACCACGGGGCGTGGGGTGGCACAGGCGAGGTCTCTCACCGGGACGCGATGTCGGGCACCAGGCCGGCGCTGATGGCAGCGCGTGACATCTCCCAGTGGAACACGTGAACGGTCTCCCCCCTGCAGCACGCGCGCCAAACACGTCAGCCACACCGCCACCAACAGGGCCAACACGAACATCAACAGCATCAATACTACCATTAACAACACTAAGATCGACAGCATCCACACCACCATCAAAACTACAATCGACACTACTACCATCAACACTAAGATCAACAGCATCAACATTACCATCAACGACATACACGTTTACAAGTTACCAAAACGTCTTCACTGGGTGTGGGTTAATTCTAGATTTGAAGCTTTCGTGACTGCAAGGATTCATGAGTCACGTAGGTATTTTTTTTATTTTACCTACGTGACTTTACCGAAAAAACCAAAGAGGGTGTGTGGGTGAGTTCACTAGTCAGCGCGGATACGTGACGGTCGGATAAGCGACGTTGTGCTGCTGTATCAGAATCTGAATATTTATCCTGGATGGAATCCGATGAGCTGTAAAGCTCTTTTCTTTCACAGACGCCGTATTGTACAGCGGCCTCGGAGCAGGCGTTTCTTACCGCAGTGCAGCGCCTCTCATGAGGCTCTTCAGCAGGGCTCTGCCCGGCTGCGCCAGGGAATCTGCATGCCAGAACAAGGAAAATCAGAATCTTTATAACACGCAGTAGGCTTTCGCGACAAAATATCATCCATAATGCAGGGGTTTTTTGGGGTTAAATCGCGTAAATGTGTGTCGTTAAACCCGCTACCACCAGACACAGCCAATTAGTAAGGTTTGTCATTCCCTATTGCCGTACAAAAACCGGAGGAAGGGCCTTTGCTATTGATGCCCCCAGGGTCTGGAATGCTATTGCCAATAAACTGCAACTTGAATCGATACCAATGAGATCTTCTCTCAAAACTGCTCTAGAGGAGTTGTACACCCCTAGCTGCCACTACTATTCAGTGGCCTAAAATATGGCTCTAGATTTTGGTGTTTTAATTTATGTAGTTTATTGTTAAAAATTCGGTCACAGTCCCTATGATCACTGTTACATTGCATTTATGGCTTTTATTTTGGTGATTTCGAAACGTTTTTTTTGTTTTGGCCATGTTTGTTTATTGTAGTACGGAGTTAGACTGATGGCCTTAATCTTAGTTGTCTAGTGGTTGTTGTTGTTTGACTTGCATCCCACTGGGATTTTTGCACACAGCGTTGGTGTACGGTGCTATTTCAGGAATATTTTGATGTTTTTTTTCCTGGATTTTCTGTTTGCACAGTCACATAATCACTTTAAGATGTTTTCTTGTTCATGTTTTTGTTTGTTGTGGTTGCACCCGATTCAAGAGCCGAATGGCTCACAAGGCTATACCAAATAAATGAACTATGAACGTGAACAGAACGTGGCCAATTCGTTACTAGTACAGCACACCGGTTGTGTGTTGGAGAGCAAAGCCACAACATTTACAATCCGAGTACGATGAAACTAGTTGTAGTTACTGGCGAAACGTCATACTCAGATTGTAAATGTTGTGGCTTTACTCTCCAACACACAACCAGTGTGCTGTACTAGTAACGAATTGGCCACGTTCTGTTCACGTTACAAACATTACTAATTGGCTGTGTCTGGTGGTGTTAGGTTTAACAACACATTTATATATTTACGTGATCTAACCCAACAAACAAGCAAAACAAAACCCCCCCGTGCAGAATCTTTATTTAGAATCCGATGAGCTGAGAAGCTCTTTTTGACAAGACGGCCAGTAGGGGCGGGTCAGCAAGTCACAAACACCACATTGGGTGTCTCCAGTACCATCGAACACTACAGGACTATCACCTACAGTAGGTGACATGCAGACATCGCCACCAACCAGTTACATCGGAATCTTTATCTCGACTGCAGGAGGAATCCGATGAGCTGAGAAGCTCTTTTTCACAAGATGTACCAGTCGGGGCCGGTCATACCAGGCACACCAGAAAGATACGTCTAAGCGGGCACATCATCATCATCAGCCATGATCAATCCACTGCTTGATGAATTCCTTTCCCCGAGCCGCCGCCGTCTCTCACGACCCCGCGACTCTGTAAACAATCAGTTTTCAGTTTCATTTATTTTGGTATAGCCCCGTGAGCCATTGGGCTCTTGAATCCGTCGGGTGCAACCGCAAACAAACAAAAAACACATGAACAAGAAAACATCTTAAAGTGACTACGTGACTGCGCAAAACAGAACAATCCAGGAGGAAAAAAAACAGCAAAAAACTTCCAGAAAAAGCATCGCGCAACAAACGCTGTGCAAAAATCCCAGTGGAATGCAAGTCAAACAACAACAACCACAAGACAACTTAATTTAAAAGCCATCAGTCTAACGCCGTACTACAACAAACAAACATGGCCAATCCACACCGAGGCGCGATTGCATTGCTCCGTCTCCTCGGCGGGACCTACTCACGTGCTGCTCTGGATTACCATACCGTAGTAACATCGCAGGTGACATAAGGGGGTGGCGATAGCTCGGGGGGAGATGCATTCATCCAGCAGTGGACTGACCATGGCTCACGATTACAATAAACCCCGACCACGTTAACACGTACCGACTATGAGCACGAATTCACTTCGCTCGCTGCCCGCTATAAGCTCCAGCAGCATGGTTTGTTGGTCGCCCCGAAGCTTAGACTGTTTTGCTCGTACAGCTATGCTTGTTGTTGTTGATGATGCTGTATTGTTATTTTAATGTAAGGGACAGCTGTGACTGTTTACAGTCCACGCAGCCATCGCTCACCGCACGTTGTGCGACGACGCGAGTTTGCAAACAGCTGATGATGTGGCCCGACTCCACGTGGTGGTCGCGGGCTGATGACGCCACCCGTGATGCCGGTTTACTCACCGCTGTCTCGTCCGGATTATAAGACGCAGCCCCCCCTACCCCCCCCCACGCAGCCCCCTACCAGCCCCCCCCCCCACTCAGTCCCCCACCACTCAGCCCCCCTACTCAGCCCTCCCCCCACTCAGCCCCCTACCAGCCCCCCCACGCCCACTCAGCCCTCCCCCCACTCAGCCCCCCCTACTCAGCCCTCCCCCACTCAGCCCTCTACCAGCCCCCCCCCACTCAGTCCCCCACCACACAGCCCCCCCCCCCACTCAGCCCCCTACTCAGCCCTCCCTCCACCCCCCCCCCCACTCAGTCCCCCCACCCAGCCCCAAAAGACAACTTGTTCAGTGTGTCACGAAATGGGACCTTTTTGCCAGGATCAAAGTGTGAAAAAATAAGAAAAAAGATGTTTCACCCTTTCTGGCAATAAAACAGGAAGTGTTCAAATGCCAAATAGATAGATACCCTTTGCAAGGTATTAAGTACTGCATTAACCACACGGTGCTTGTGATGAACATGCAAACATGATCTAGTAATACAGGATGCTTCAATAAAATGTTAACACTTATATGGGACTCGTTTTTAATGGGAAAAAAACGAACGCACGAAACATGATTAAAAAAATGTTTTAATAGCTTCAAAAAGTCAAAGAGTCTCCACTTGTTCGTCATCATTGTCAACACACGCCAGGAATCTTCTCCAGGTGGTCTTCAGAGCACGGAGCGCATGTCTTGTGGTATTGTTGCAAATTCTCTAAAGTGTTAACATTTTTTTGAAGCATCGTGTATATGACATCGTCGTTGGAACTTTGGCCATGTTTGTTTGTTGTAGTACGGAGTTAGGCTGATGGCCTTAATCTAAGTTGTCTTGTGGTTGTTGTTTGACTTGCATCCGACTGGGATTTTTGCACACATCGTTGGTGTACGGTGCTTTTTCAGGAATATTTTGCTGTTTTTTCCTGGATTTTCTGTTTGCACAGTCACATAGTCACTTTAAGATGTTTTCTTGTTCATGTTTTTGTTTGTTGCGGTTGCACCCGATTCAAGAGCCGAATGGCTCACAGGGCTATACCAAATAAATGTAACTGAAAACTGATTGGCCTACACCAGAGACACTGGTGGTGAGACAAGGCCCTGAATTAGGAAGGTTGTCTCTGGTATAGACAAATTCGGGTTTAGCAAAACAAATTGAACGTGGCATGTCCGGCCCGCTTGGCTCAATCCACTGCTGGATGAGAGCTTACCCCCCCCCCCCCACCCGTGCTAGTCGTCTGATTAAACTGCAATGCACCCATCTAATTTGGGGTAGGAGGAGGGGGGGATTTGACCATACTTCACCGCGCTGGTCAGTGCAGCGTTGGGAAGACGTGGGGGCATAAACTTGCAGTAAACCAATGGCATCCCGCCACTCCTCGCCTACGCTGCGTTATTAGACCCCGCATTCTATAACGCCTGTTATGCATGGTTAGTCATCGTCCCTTCAAAATTAAAACTATCCAGGCTCCAACCTGCTTAGCTTTTGAGATTTGCTGCATTGGGCACGTGGACGGGTTCCATTCTATTCCTGGGTATGATGATAGCAGCAGCAGCAGGAAGAAGATGTTCAGGAGGTCCATGCCAATGTCGAGGTCTGCTGCTGCTGGCCACGACGAGAGGGCTTCAGTAGAGAGGCAGAGAGAGAGTTCGTGTCGTGTCGCTCTTCTTCCTCCTCCTCCTCATGCCTTTGAAGGAGCCCAGACCACGGCGAGTTTACTGCGTGATCCGTAGTGTGGGTTGCATGGCCACAGTCGCTCTGCATCTCAAAGTGTCTGTGTGTCTCTATGGGTCTCCATGTATCTCTGTGTCTCTGAGTCTCCTTCTATGTCCCTATGGGTTTACTCTGCGGCCTGTAGTGTGGGTTGCATGGCCACAGTCGCTCTGCTGTGGTTTGTCTTTAATGCATCTCAATGTGTCTGTGTCTCCATGTATCTCTGTATCTCTGTCTCCTTCTATGTCTCTATGGGTCTCCCATGTATCTCTGTGTCTCTGAGTCTCCTATGTCTCTATGGGTTTACTGCGCGGCCCGTAGTGTGGGTTACATGCTCACAATCGCACGACTGTCGCTTGGAGTGCATGATACATATACACACAACGTTTCGGGCAATTGCCCTTTTTCATAGCACAATGATAATTTTAACTTGGTACAATGTTAACATTGTGCGCGCGTCACTCGCTCTTACATCTCGTAGTCCGCATAAGCGCGGCGCGTGCGCGAGTAATTTAATTATTTACTTATCTCTCTCGTAATTGGTCGCAACCGCCCCCGGCGGGATCGGGCGCCCAGCCAATGGGAAGGCGGCCTTGGGCGCGACCGCGCTGGGAATTCCAGAAGCTCGGCTCGGGCGGCTGTGGCTCGGCGTCTCCCCGTGGCGTCTTCCTCCTCGGGTAAAAAGAACAAAAAACAGCACCGAGGGAGAGAGCTTCCCTCGCCCGCCTCTGTGCTTTTCATCTTCACGTCTTCACAGTTTCGCCTCTGGTGCTGTCGCCCGTAATTGCTTTGGGTTTTCGACATCTCGCGCGAGGCGGCGACGCGAGCCCGCCGTTGCGATGGCAACGGCCTACGCTTTCCAACTAGGCCGCAGGCGTCTGACGCCATCGGCATTGTTTTTAAAATTATTTTTTTGTATGTGTTGTGATTTTTTTTGTTCACTATATTTTTTTCGTGACAGGTGAGTGGATTTGACGTTCTATGCGCGAGTAAGATAATATTTACGGGGCTGTAATATGTTTTTCAATGAATGGATTGAACGAGTCTTGTGCAGCAATGGATTGTGCTATTCAGAAGTGGCTTTTGATTTACTGTTTACGGTTCTCTTGGTGAGGTTATTCCTTATTTTTTTAATACCTTTAACATTGCAAGCTATAAATGGGCTAACATCTGGTCTTGATGTAAATAACGGGATTTGATGTGTCAATCTCATGCAGTTTCCTATATTTTTAAATACGGTGACAGTTCGGAGGCAGTGCAACGCTTGGTCACAGAAAATTCGACGGTGTAACGTTAAATAATGCATTTGTAGCGGTGATGAGCAGAAACAAGGAATAGCATGCAGCATACATTCTCATTCGCCCTCTTAACAATGTAATATCGACCCTGTGAGGTGCTCTTATGGCTAAGATACCTTTATATAATCGTCCGTTGAGACCAAGTCACTTTTCCAATTAATGTAGAAAACACCATGTAGAAAGTATGATTCGTTTTAACTTTGGATTTATAAAATATATATTAAGTAATACACAAGGGTGCCTGCAATGTAAAATACTTTGTAAAAATTTGCATTGAGATTGTCCAATAGTGACTCTTAACATCAACCTAAAACTTGAACGACATAATCGTGTCAATTGTGTCATTGTACATGTCAAGGGAAATTATCCAATGAGGGTTCACTTTTGAAAAGTGACATACATTTAGAAGCCTGCCTTTCATTAAGAGCATATTCGACAATGAAATTTCCATAAAAAGGAAAATATATACTGTATAAGCCATATTTCGGAAAACGAGCTTAATTGCCCATCTGCAATGGCTATTTTTTTTTATCTGTGAAGGGATATTAACAATGTTTTACATGGCGGTTTTATTTACGAATAGGTTACGTTTTGATATCTGTGCATACGCACCATTGCCAACACAGCATAGTATTGCTTAGCAGCTCAGTTCATTGGCAGTAAAGGTTTTTTATATGCGAAAAGTGTTTCTTAATAGACTGTTGGCACGCTGTATTGAACGGAATTTTGTTTTAACTTTACCGATGGTTAGCTGGATGGTGGGTTGCTTTTGCTTCTCGACATTTGTTGGTGCCCCAAGTGGTGTTGAGTAACATTCATTCATGCGAGGAAGCCACCACCTCCACCAGCGCCTCGCGAAGTGAATTAATGAAGGGGAAACGTAAACAATGGGACGCGGTCTGCATGCCAGGCACCAAGCGGGGACGGTGCAAACATTGCTCTTTGTGTTTGGATGCGGCGGGGGAGGGGGGCAGTGTTGCGAGGCAAATATATCAGGTTACGATCGCACTCATAAACCCTGACCAAAATAATGCTTCAGCATGACCCTGCACGCACACACTTGACAAAATGTCCCATAGTTCAGGTTGACCAGATTATAGGGGCAAGCTAACCTAGGGAAGAGTTTGTTTTTGTTTTACCAATCTAATCGGCAGCGGTGGTTATTACGTTTTGAAAAGCGGGAACGGCCAAAAGTGGCATCTGATTAAAAGTGGAAGATAAATGCTCGTGGTGGAACGAAGCATCGATTAGTGTTGATTGAAACTGTGTCAGAAAAAAAGACTGGTCCATGGAAGCAAACGTCTTTATGGGGCGGCAACTTCCCACCCGACCTGATAAAGAGTACACGACAGTGAAATAATTTCGATTTAAAGCTTTCGTGACTGCAAGGACTCATCTTCTTTGGTTCTTTCGGTAAAGTCACGTAGAATGAGAATAAAATAATAAATGAATAAAATAAAATAACAATAAAATTCTCACGACGTTTCGACCACAACACAAGTGGCCTTCTTCAGGTGAAAGGACCAGACCTGTCGGGCCAACAGAGCTTCAATGAACGTTGTTAAGAGCTTCAATGAACGTTAAGATTCGAATCTTAACAACGTTCATTGAAGCTCTGTCGCCATATTATTTATTAATTTATTATTTTATTCTCATTCTACGTGACTTTACCGAAAGAACCAAAGTGAAATAATTATTTTAAAGTCTCCGAGCTGGCCAAATGAAGTACATGTAATATTGTTTTAATCCTAATTCATTGGCGATTAAACTCTGGCGTCTTTACCTTCCATCTCATTCTCATCGTCTCGCTCTCATGCTGTTGTTTCTCGCCATAGCTAGGGTAGCCTGATGCAAGGAAGCAGTTGCCATGGCAGCAGCATCACCTAGCAGCAGGCCACGCAGCCGGGCCGGCAGCAGCGGCTCCCTGGAGGCTGCATACAACGCGAGGCCACCGCGGCCGCCCTCGGCCAAAGGCCGTGTGCGCCCATCCTCATCTCACGCCGCCGGTGGCGCCGCAACCCGTGCCAGCATTGGCGGCGACGGCCTCACCGATGGCTCCGCTGTTGCGTTATCTCCCCCTTCCTCTCCTCCTGGGTGGTTCCCACCATCGACACCGCGCTCCGAGCTGGCGGGTGGCCGGGCTACCCCGCGGCCCCCCTCGGCCGCCCCTCGGCCTCCATCAGCCCGGACCTCCTACGTGGGGGGCGGTACTCCCGTGGTCCAGCGGCCCACGCTCAACCGCTACTCCGTGCTGCCCGCCATCCGGGGCGGCCGCAGCACCGACGATGGAGATGAAGGGGATGCCGACGAAAGTCGCCACCAACACGACGCCGAGGCTGGCATTGATGCACTGAGCCTGAGGGGGGACGAGGAGCCCAGACCGCATAGTCGCCCTCTCTATCGGCAGCAGCAGCAGGATCATCATCAGCAGGATCATCATCAGCAGCAGGATCATCAGCAGCAGGATGACAAGGAGAGCGGGAGCCTAGTGCCGGGCCTTTCGTCACCATCGCTATTGCTGGCTGTGCGTCTGCCGTCAGGAGAGCGTGTGGAGCGGCACTTCTCCCCGGACGAGACACTGTCCGCGGTTCTGGCGTTTGCGCTGTCGCGGCGAGGCAACGACGGGCAACGGGGGGAGGAGGAGACGGCAGTTGTGGGGAGACGGCGCTGGGTGGTGGGAGCCGGACGTGCACGTTACACCGACCTGACCCGTTCGCTGCGTAGCTGCGACGTGCGGGACCGGACACTGCTCTACCTGTTCTTGGAAGAGGACGACTGAGGGTATGCGGTGGTGTAGAAGGAAAACTAAACAACAACCACCATTGCAAAGGTTTTTTGCAGTTGTGCTGTGTTTTTGTGCAGCATATCTGACGTTCCTCTCCACATACTGTGAGCTTCTTAAGTTCGTCTTTGGGGGGTGAGAAACGATTGCTTATTCAATTATCGAAGAAACTTTTTGGGTTCACGACGAAGCTCCCAGCATGTGGAGAAAAATGTCAGACGTCATGCCAAACACGCGTGAGAACCCGAAAATACATTGGAGGGCTAAGACACCGAGCACCATTACCGCCACCCTCTCCAGCGTGTGTCGATGCAGGCACCAGACAAGCTGGGTTGTGGTCACCCACAAGGTGCTGAAGCCTTGTTCACATTTACAGTACTTTAAAAAGAAAAAAATTCAAGATAATTGCCAAGGTTGACGATTGCCCTCGCGATTCAAACTCGTGCAGTTTGAAATATCGTTCCGTTCGTCGCGTTTGGTGACCGCCGCATCTCCCGAGACTCCTTGCAGAGAATGCAAGCCGTGTGGGGACCCTCCCCCATGACTTGTGCCGCAGCCTGGCAGATGGCAGTGTCGTTTTGGTTTACCGCCACGGGCATTTGGTACGACGACGAGCGAGGGGGCCGAGAAATGATATAATGGTTGTGCTGTGTACATAGCGGTGAAAGGAATCTAAACAACAAAAAATATCGTTAGTTACAAATTTTTAAATCTCTTATTTTTTATGCGATTGTTTACTCTGAAATAAATTTTACACGTTAATGCTTCTAAACTGTTTATGGAGTATCGTGTGCTTTTACGGGACACTGGACTTTGTAGCCCAATGGATGCTCAGAGAATTACAATCATACATCCGAGCTAAGACATTGCCGTGCCCTCATGATGCCTGCAGTGAATAAGAACTAAACTATGATATGCTGGTCTCAAGGCATCGGGTTTGGCCAAGCAGGGCCAGGGGGTGTGGCTTCTGATGCTTTTATTGCATGTGATGTCAGTTCGTACACGGAGGACACAGCGTCACGTCATCTACACGCGTCTCAACTTGTTAATTCGTGTGACATCCGTGTCATGGCTCGCATTCAGCAGTGGAAAAACAATCTGGCACCTCTTGAGCTGCACCAGGTTGGCTCGGCCTGGTTGTACAATGGCAGACAGCAAGACATCGGTAGAATTTTTAATTGTCCGGCTTTTGATTAAAAATTAACTTCATTATCGATGTGCAGCCATGCGAGTGTGCTGCCTCTCGCGAGTCCCTGAGTGGAGACGCAAATTTATCCGTCTCGTTCATTTAATTCCAGTTCGCACATCAACAGCGACTAAAAATCCAGTGAATACTTAGGGTTGCAGGGAACGTGAATTATCTTGACAAGTCATGACTCACCAGCCTTTTGTTTTTCAAGAGACATTTTCAGACAGAGGAGACAAGATGGAGTCATCTATAAAACTCCCATTTTCAAATTTACACAACTACCACATTGTGTGCAGATGTGCATGCAAATTAGCACTTCTGATGACGACATTCGTCGGATGATGCATCTGATGACCGTGCTGCAGTTGAAACATTTCACTTGTTAGATAAAATTCTGCTTTGCCCCACCTTGCGCAAAGGTGGACAAATGCTATGCTAGTTTAAAAAGTGCACCTGTTTACTCGGGTCAGGAGGAGACTTGGCAAAAAAAACACTACTCAATCACACCGCCATGATTGTAGCTGCCACATGCTGCCCTGCCAGTTTCCCGAGTACGTTGCAAGCGTACACGCAATGTCGTGTCGCCACTCCAATTTGTTTTCAGGTTGTACCGTGTGTTGGGTCTGCATGATATGCAACGTTTTGCGCTGGGCGCTTTAGTTCTTGAAGCAGCTCCCAGAATACGGAGTGAAACGGTGGACATCGTACTGGACCAGCAAGCGGTACAACCTGAAAACACATTGTGGAGAGCTGTACAGCACAACAACGAAATATTAGGCAGCCACATTCTCATGCTGTAAATAGGTTTCTGTCAGGCCGGTTGCCCGACTGGCCTTAAATGTTCCACATTGAAGTAAAACACTGCCAGGGTTGAGACACGGTGGCTATCGTGCATGTTGCGGTTTCCTTACGCCGTCTTGCTTTACTTGCATTTGTGGCGTAGCATAATAGGTGTGGGCCCTGGTGAAAGGGAAAAAAATGAAATGGGGCACCCCATCCAATTTCCGCCCCAAAACGTCGTAGCTCGGTCCCTTGGGCGCCCCAACTAACGCATGGGCCCCGGTGCCGTTGTACGACCTCCACACTTGTTAGCTACTCCACTGACTTGTAGGGAAGCTGTGACACGCAAATTACCGCAATGTGAAAGTGACACGTTCACTAAGTAACCTCAGATTTGTCAGACGTTGGACGTTGTCTCCTTTAGTTTTTAATCATAAATGTGCCATGTATTATGTTGGCAGTTATCACAAACAAGAAAAGCCAATAGTATTTATGCAAGACTACCGCAGCACGTCAACAGTGGGCTCTTTTTAAAATTCCTGTTTTGTAATTTAATAAATACAAATCGAACTTCAGGACCTGTGCTTTAACAAGTGGCACACGTCATCCTACGTTTTGCAATAACATCACAGTCGTGAACACTCCTTCCACACAAGATGAGAAACTTAAAAAAGAAAAATATACCCTGAAGAATGACTGCTAAGTGACACCATCCAAAACCCTCAATCCCCTTGTGATATGCCCGGGCGCTGGGCGCATAGGCATTCGGGTGACATAAAAAAAACACATTGAAACAAGACCTATCAATGGGTCAAGTAGGTGAGGCTTATGCAAGGCTTCTGAACGCTAGGACGTCTTTGCATGGGTGGCCGAGGTTGCGGGATCTGTGGGTAGCGGTGGCGGAGGCGTTGGCCTCAGCGCGAGCAGGATGAGCACGTGGCAGACGTGCAGGGCGAGTGAGGAGATCTTTGTGGAGGGGTACGTGTTCCACGCCAGCTCGATGACGCCCAGCACAAGCACCCTGTGGTTGCACAAACACCAAAAGCCGTCCTTTCGCCTTGTTCAGACATCTGAGACAAGCATTGTCCGAGAAAAGCGTTGCTAGCGAGTCTTCACTTTTTTTTACGAAAATGGTAAAGACATTTTGTTGGCAAAGTGTTTTCTATTAGGCGACGACGACAATGAATCAAGTCGACGAAAAATCGTCGCGCATCGTGTGAAACTCATATCCCGATAAATGTCTTGTGAAATTCGAAATTCGTATCCCGAAAATTTTTATTTCGAAAACCCAACCTCTCTCCAATGCCTAAGCCCTCACCTTCACTGTCACCATCGGTTAGTGTTGAGGCTGTAACCAGTGTTCATTTAGTAAAGGAATATAGTGATGAAAATATTTGTCAACAAAGTCGTTTATTTTATTTCATACAAAGTTGACTATGACTTGGGGCAGAGAGTGCTGTTAGCGAACACCTATTCAGGCCGGCACTGCGCACGAGCCCCAAACCAGCACAGTGGGTGCATGTGCGCTGCCCAGACGGGAGCCTCACCGCAGCAGCGGGGCCATGGAGCCGAGAGGGCAGCACCAGAGCAGGAAGGGCAGCGAGTGGAAGTACCACACGTAGAACTGGTAGTGCAGGGACCGCGCGAAGCACACGCCAACCAAGTTGGACGAGAAGAGCACGAACGCCATCTGTGAAGCGGCGCGTCAAAGACGACCAACGCACGGACAAACTTGCAATACACGGCGACAAATCCATTCATGTTTTTAAAGGGAATAAACGGCACTTAATGGAGAAAGATGATGCATAGCAGCAAGCAGCACTGTTGAAAGTGTATAACAGTAAATACCTTTCTTGAATTGAGCAAGGTAATCAGTGGGATGGAATTCCACAGTTGAGTGGCATGTAACAAGGTGGCTAAGCGCAGCATAGATGAGAGAGGAAACGTAAACTAGTAGAACGAGTTCTTGACAATGGCAGAGGAATCCAGGTGTGAAGTCCGTGGTCGTAGCAATTAAAGGCTGACAAGGAAGCGACTGAACGATGGAGAGCGAGAGACCGGGGTGTTATCGGAAGGATATGATCGTCGGTCATTGGGTCACGCTTCTTTTTCTTCGTGGGCGCCTTGAGGAGGCCGAGGAGGCCTTCCCCGGGCCTGGCGAGAGAAAAACCACAGTCACATCCCACTCGGTGACACTTCACGCAAGCACATCATAACTTATCAGCACCGCCCTGGCGGTTGTGGGTGACACGAAACAGTCTGGTAGACAAAGTCCTCACCATGGGTGGAGGAATGAATGAGTGAAATTCACAGGAAACAATAACCAAGGTAGTAGCCAATACAAGAGTGATAAGGAGACCCAAGTGCCCCCTCTCAGACTCCTACCCCCCCCCCAGCCCCCGTTACCGGCTCCAGTGACGGTGGGCGTAGAGGAGCAGCACGGCGAGGTGCGCGGCGAGCAGAGCGGCGTGGAATCCGCGGTGCAGGAAAAGCCATTCGGGCAGCAGGCGCCAGTTCACGGTCCACTCAAACAGGAAGCTACGCCCGAGGTCGAAGGCCCGCGTCGCGTAGCCCAGCGGGTTCGCCAATAGGAAGGGCAGGCCCAGTACCACCTGGGTGAGTGGGTTCGGGGTACACACCGCCCCCTTCATCGTCATCAATCGATGGCCTACTCTTCTTTGGTTCTTTCGGTAAAGTCACGTAGAATGAGAATAAAATAATAAAGTAAAAATTGTATTCTCATTCTACGTGACTTTACCAAAAGAACCAAAGAAGATGAATCCTTGCAGTCACGAAAGCTTTAAATCGAAAGATGGCCTACTCGTTTCGAATTAAATCAAGGGCGTCTTTAACGTCAGCTCTGAAGCATGCGGTGCGAAGTAGTAGTAATATTATTAGGGTTAATACACCAGCAGTATTAACCAGGTGGCCTGCAATATCAAGCCACTGCAGCTATGCACTTTTAAATCTATATTGAAAACCAATTTCTTTAAACTGCTTTTTGTGTTTAGTTTGTTGGCCTTCTCCCCACACCTCCAATTAACATGGTTGGCTAAATACGGTGCGAAAGAAGTTCAACGTACATACACACATACGAGTCTGCAACGTGCGGCGAACGCGCTAACCGATACCGACGGCGCCGGCGGCAGCTCGCCTGGAGAGCGGCACACGCAGCTAGGCGCGGCACAGCACGCGCTGGGCCCAGCTCCCGCAGCAGCACGAAGAGCAGCCCCGGCGCAAACAGCAGCACGTTCATCTTCACCGACACGGCAAGGCTGCGGGAAACAACAGCAGTAGTAGCAGCAGCAGCATCAGCATCGCCACGTTCATCGACACACACAGCTCAAGCCGTTGTGAACGATTTGTGGACACTCGCATCCTGGATCACCCCCCTGGGCCTCCGGCCTACGCCTATTCAGAATGGTAATACGATCATTGACATTGACACAGCCAGGAGTAGAACCAAACTTGTTATGCTCATCTGCTTTTGTTTCCGTTTTCCCAGTCGGTTCCTGCTGCGTCCGACCCGTATGTCACAGACCGCAGCCTGCGGCGATTGAAACTTTCTCAAGCTTAGTCGACGTTCATCATAAATTATCGCCACCACAGTGCCAGGCGATGGCAACATAGGCACAATCATGTCGACGTTGCTTAATTGGTCGGTCGCTCATTCGTGCAACTGGCAGAGGGTGCGAGCGGGCGGTGGCGCGCACACCTAAAGACGAGGCATCCCAGGGTCCAACGGCGGTCCAGCAGGAGGTTGACCGAGGCGAAGAGGATCGCCATTGCGACGGGGTCGTTGAAGAGGCGCAGCACGAAGATGGAGTGCACGCGGTACGAGGCGCAGCACATGAAGAAGAGCGCGTAGGGTGGCACCTGGGCAACGGCACACACGAGCGTGACACACCGCCCCCCTTTATCGCCACACCGCCCCCCATATCGCCCCTGAATCCATCCACCTCGTCAAACGACAGAATGCTGGTAACCGTCGCATATTGCAGGTCGCGCGTCGCGGTCCCACCCGTCGGACGCGCGCGTAGATGCGGAAGACGAGGACGAGGGTGACGAGGTAGAGGACGGCGAAGATGTACTGAGCCCTGCGCACGTCCGCGCCGCGCTCCGTCACGTGGTACAGCAGCGAGTAGACGTACACGAAACCCGCAGGGTAGCTGAGTGGGGGGGGCGGCGGGAGAGCGAGAGGATGGGAGAGGAAGGGAGGAGAGGATGGAGAATAGAGGGGAGAGGTAGGGAGGAGAGGGGAGAGGTAGGTAGAAGAGGGGAGAGGAAGGGAGGAGGAAGAAGAGGATGGGATGGCAGCAGGGGAGAGGACAGGATGGGAGAGGTTATTGAGAGGAGGTTGGGAGAAAGGAGAGAAAGGTACAGAGTGGAAGGGAGAAGGGGAGATGTGGAATGGCGTGGAGATAAGTGAGTACAACAAGGTGATGGGGAGGGGGGTGAGAGGAGATCAGAGAGAAGAAAAAGGGAAAAAGTGAATGTGAGACAGATATGAGTGCAGGAGATAGTTGAGATAGTTGGGATAAGGAGAGAAGACATGGCATGAGCCGAGCTACCGATAATCGGTAGGCACATAATAGCCCAGTTCCTCCACTACATTAACAAAGCCATTTTCCACTGGCACATCCATGCCAAGCCAGTGCGGGACCCTAATAATATGGGCGATTTTCCACTGGCTATTTGCGGTGCCGAGACGGAACCAAAAAGCGATACGCTTTTGGTTCGGGGCCAAGGGCAAGACCAATTATCGCGTCCCCTACACGCGTCTCTCGACTTGTTCACCATGTGTGATGTCAGCAGCATGGCTCAGGTACTGCAGTGGAAAAACGACCGGGCGCCTCCTGAGCCGCGCTGGGGCTGGCTGGGCACGGCCCGAGCACGGTTCGGTTGTGCCGTGGATAATTCGGTGATAAGCGTCGTAGCAGCAGCAGCAGCACTCTACACAGCAGTGATGACTCACACGAGGGGTCCGGTGCCCCCCTGCAGTTTCATGTAGTCAAAGGTCCCGTTCATCACCCCCTCCACCTCCTCCATGTAGGCTCTCCAGTCGATCTCCGTGTCTGCAAGCACGAAGGCATCGGACGTCAGCGCGCGGAGGACGTAACAAAATCGAACGACGGATCGATTACAACAATAATGATGATACAACGTGTAACGCGCTGCACAATTTTTCCACGGACATAAATGAAGAGGTGAGGCCTTTAAGTATCTCTTAGAAGTCGGTGTGAATTGAACGCTGCTGTTGTTAATGTGCAGCATCTGGATGATGATGACGACGATCATTGCCGCGTTCCAGACCGCGTTAGGAGGGGGGGGGGGGGCTGCCGCAGAAAAAGGCCGCCCGGTAGTGACAGTCCTGCTCTTGGGCGTTAAGAGATTATCGACAAGTCTACACGGCCGAAATCAGAGACGCGTCACTCGAGAGCCGGCGCGTTTTACAACGGCAGCGCCTGCTTCGGCCACAAGGAATGACAGCCGCCAGGCGCTGCCCAACGGCCGCCACTCTTTGCTGGTCGAAGGGCAGCAGCTGCCAGGGAGCATCGGGGACCCACGCCGGTTCCTTTCGCATTCTTCAGGGGATCAGGAGGAGACTGGAACCGGAGGAGGCTAAAATGGTTCGGACACACGGACGGACGCGGAGAGAGTGCTGCGGTAGTAGACGTGGGGTAAGAATAGCAAAGTAAGATGCTTATGCTGCTCCTTCTGCTGATGCTTCTACCCCCCCCCCCCCCCAGCTACAAAAAGCATAAATAGCAATCTCAGTGTGCCAAAAGCTTCACCGGATTGTAAGGACGGAGCATCATTGTCACCGTCGCCATCATCAGCCACAGCCAATCCACTGCCGGACGAAGACGCCGCGTCTCACGATTCCAAGATGAATTAAACCACCCAACGCCTGCACAAAATATTATTTAATCACTCCCATCTCCCCTGGCGGACCTCCTCTCGGATGGATGGTACCTGCCTTAGCTGCCATTCAGTCGTTAGTCCCACACGTCAGACATTACCCCTGGTAGTGATGTGCCCTGCCGGGGGGGGGGGGGATTGAATCGAACTCCCCAAACATACTGGATTGCAAGTTCACAGTGCCGACCCATACTTCTGCCCCCCACCCCCAGTGCCCCCACCCCCCAGTGCCCACTCCCAGTGCCCCCCACCCACCCCCAGTGTCCCCCTCACCCTCAGTGTCCTCCCACCCCTCAGTGCCCCCCAACCCCCAGTGCCTCCCCCCCACTTTCAGTGCCCCCCACCCAGTCCCAGTTACCCCCCACCCACTCCCAGTGCCCCCCCACCCCGTGCCCCCCCCTACCGCCAGTGCCCCCCTCCCCCACCCCCGACCGAGTGCGCGCGCGCCTCACCCCCTACCCAAACGCGACTGGACTTGTGTGTTAAAGAGACGTGGCTGCTATACTTTAACCCACACGACGATGAGCCAACTTCGTCGAACTATCATTTGTGACCATGTCGCTTCTGAAAAAGCTAATGAGCTCAGTGGGCCTTACCTGGTAAAATAAAAACAATGTTTATTTTTTATTTAAAATAAAAAAACCAATGTTTATTTTTTTGTAACTTGCTGTTATTTGCTTACCTTTCCTATACTTTGCACTCATATCGGATTCCTCTTCCTGCAGCATATTTCTGATTATATCTCATACTGGTAGGAACGAAGTTGTAAACTGAGTGTACCAGCCTGCAATAGATTAATGTGTCCGTCCGTCCGTCCCGTTTCAATACTTTAACGAAGTGAAATCTCGTGCTGTTGGGTGTAATCACCTCCCCGCCCCCCCCCCCCACTCACAGGGCACTGCGCGGATGATCCACGCGTTGAGCAGCACCTCGGCGAGCAGGAGCGCGCCCCCCACCAGCCCCGTGCACGCCGGGTCCGTGAGCGCGCACCGCCGGTCGCGCCACGCGGAGCGCGCGCACGACGCGAGGCCGCGGGGAGACCACGCGCGGCAGGGCGACGCGGCGGAGGAGGTGGACGACGAAGACGAGGAGGAGGCAGCAGCAGGAGGAGAAGGGCGAGAGGCGGCGCGCGAGGGAGCCATGGCCGAGGGCGCAGCGCGCGCTGCGGTGCCCCCCACACAGGGGGAAGAGAGACGAGAGAGGGAGAGAGAGAGACACACACGGGCGGACTTCGATTCCGATTCTTAACATCGATTTATCCGCGGCGGATTTTGGTTTGGATCGATTCTGGCGAAGAATCAGTGTCGGTTAAGTTGGGGGGTGAGCAGCTAAGACATTGGGGAGCTTTGGGGCCGTCCATAAATGACGTCACGCACCTAGGGAGGGGGGGGGGGTGTGGGGGTCAGGCATTTGTGACGATATGTGACGAGGGGGGGTTTGAGAAATGTGACGTCACATCAAAATGCGCAACTTAAATTAATACAGGCAACACGTTCTACTTCATTAAATAGACTTTTTAATAAATGTTTTCTCCTACAACATCAGAGTGCAGCGCCACATTAAATACGCACTACAATGACAATAGTTTACTAGCAATTTGAAGCATGTTTTATTGGGGGGGGGGGGCAGAGCTTTGTGACGTCATATTTGAGGGGGGGGGGTCTGACTTTTTGTGACGCCGTGTGACGAGGGGGGGGGGTCAAAAATCGTCAAAAATCGCGTGACGTCATTTATGGACGGCTCCTTTCTTACCATTGTCAAACTGTAATTGTTATTATGAGAGCATGTTTGTTTGTGCGCATATTCACCACGAGTACGTGTTGTTAGTGCCGACGGGATTTCCTCGAAAAAGGATTCTGTTGGGGTGTTTTAACATCTTGACACCTCTTGTTGTATCCGTTAAGTTGTAACGCGTGAGCAGAGCCGTCAAGTGTCAACCCACGGATTCTTCTTGTTCAGGGGAAGTTAGTTTGAAGGTTCATCCGGCGTACAGACGTTTCAATACGGGCAACAAATATAAAATAAATGGTCTATTGTACTAGTGACGAATTGGCCACGTTCAGTTTACGTGATAACCCTGACTAGTTGGCTGTGTCGGGTGGTGGCGGGTTTTAACGACACATTTACATCTTTACGTGATCTAACCCAAAAACACATTCTCCTGCGGAGGGAGCTGGTAGGAACATTGGGTTGCTCGGTCAATGGCCATGGATCAACGGCGGCACCACGTGGTGTATTCCGCAAATATGCCCGACTGTGAGGGCGGTCACAAGCCGTCGTGAGTAGGTTAAACGTTGAGTTTTATAAGGGCACCACGGGGTGACCAGCCCCTCCCCACCCAGCCCCACCCCTCTCACCCCCCACCCAGCCCCACCCTCCCCACCCAGCCCCTCCCGACCCTCCCCAACCAGCCCCTCCCCACCCTCCCCACCGCACCCAGCCCCACCCTCTCCTCCCCACCCTCCCCACCCTCCCCTCCCCACCCAGCCTCTCCCCACCCTCCCCTCCCCCACCCTCCCCTCCCCACCCAGCCCCACCCTCCCCTCCCCACCCAGCCCCACCCTCCCCACCCAGCCCCTCCCTCCCCTCTCCACCCAGCCCCACCCCTCCCATTTTTGGATGCACGACGGACGGACACAATAAGCCCCTGTGGGCTGGTGTAACCAGGAGGTTCCTACCAGTAAAACCTCTATCTCCACATATATAAGGCAAAGTTGTGAATGTGTGTCTGTTCAAAATGTGTAGCGTACTTCCCGACATGCAACAAACTTGAAATTTGCCATGTGAGTACTTTCCAGACTGCACACCATGCAAAAATGATAAAAATAAACTTTTATGGAGGGGGAGCTCAATAATGCATTTATTTATTTTGCACGGCAAGTGAGCTGTGACGTCAAATCTGTCACGTGACCCTCGCATGTGGAAGCGTAACGCATTGTAGTGTAGCGGTTAGCGCGCTGCGCTACGAACCCGGCGTCCCGAGTTCGATTCCCGCTCACGGCCACCACCGGTAACGATTATTTTTACCGGTCCTGGGCCTCCCCTAGGTCGACTCAGCCTCAAACGAGTAACTGCTCTGCTGTGTCAACATCGCCACTGGGGAGACAAAGGCGGCAGGCGTGGTGAATACAAGTCCTGGTCTATTTGTTTGTGTATCTCACTTGTGATGGGACTTTGTAGGATGAACTTTGAGGTTTATTAGGGCACGGGGTGACCAATAAGGTCTGGGATTGGTCTGTAATGAGGTTGGCACTGATAAGGGGTTTACAGGTATGCACTGATGATGTCAACATTTATTGCGTAGAATCGGTTACGCTAACACTGAACTACAAATTATAGCTAATCCTGTGGACAGTTATAGCAGCCAAATTCTCTAAACGTGTGATGTTGATTCTAAATGTGGAGGGAAAACCTGGAGAAAAATCCACGCCACCATGGGGAGAGACACATTGCAAACTCCACATATACAGCAGCAGGCGTCAGGGTCAGGATCGAACCCACGACCTCTTGTATACCAGGCGAGGTAGTTAACATCTCACCACGGAGAGAGAGACACCGCAAACTCCAATATACAGCGAGCGTCAGGGTCAGGGTCGAACCCACGACCTCCTGTGTATCAGGCGAGGTAGTTAACATCTCACCACGGAGAGAGAGGCATGCAAACTCCACATATACAACAGGGGTCAGGGTCGAACCCACGACCTCCTGTATACCAGGCGAGGTAGTTAACATCTCCTAGCCACCGCGGCGCCACAGGCTCCCCACAACGTCAAGCGGTCAGGAACAAACAGCACGATGTAAAGGTTGTTGTCGTAGTCGATCAGAGTTCTCACAAATTTCTGTAATTGAGCTTGAGCTTGGGAAAAGTCATTTGAAATGTTGTTGTGTTGGAGTCTGGATTGATGAATCGATCCAAATATGAGACACTTGATTGAAAAACTGTCCGGTTCGACTGTGTCATCCGAATCGATTTTTAAAATGTAATCTCCGAATTGAATGGAAGGGATCGATTATTGGTTTTACTCGAAGCGACCGAATCTATTGATAACCGCGGCAAGATGATGTAGAGAAAGTTTCAGCTGCTCCGAGATCGAACGTTAATGTGAATCGATTCGATAATCGAATCGCGTGCCTGAATCGCAGGATAGAATCAATAGCACGGTCCCGGTGGTGAGTCTCCATGGCGAGTCACGATCGATCCACTGCTGGATGAAGCTTCCCTTTAAATCACCCCCTTCCACTTCAATAAAGTTTCTAATCAAATCTGCAATGCTGCATGAATCAGCTGTGTGACTTCAAAATGAAAATATGCGACGTTTCGGGTAATGACCCTCCTTCATAGTACTTTTTTAAGGCCGCAGTGTTATTGATGAATGTGTTTAGTTTGTTTTCATTAATGTGTAAACAACCCGAACGAAGATCCCCCTATAGACTCTAAGGGCAAGCGCTTTTAGTGACTAATAGCACCTAAGAATGGCGTGGCACACGATGGGGCGGATGACCAACAGCCCACGCCTGGCCGACTTTGCCTTCCCGGAGCAAAGGTTGTTGACAGAACCGCACCAGTTACTCATTTAAGGCTGAGTCGACCTAAGAGACTCACAACCCTCACTCAGGACGCCACGTGGAATAGCCACGCCGAATCGCTTACTGCGCATGCGCAATCGTTTGGCTTGTTGACACGCCCCCTTTGAGTGCCCAATGAAAACGGAGCATCGTTCGAAACGTCGCTTATTTATACATTCTAGTTGTTTTTTTACTTCAAAGCCACGGTGTGATTGACGTATGTGTGTTGAGGTCTTTACTGTTTAATAGCGATCGTGAGGAGGTCGATGCGGAAGCGGAAGTGGCCAGAACTCACAACAACGTGCGTAACACGTGGTCGCCGGCAGCACGTGCTCGAGTGATTGGTGGTAGTGGTGGAACTTGCTGCGTTAATTGATCTGGTGGAGGGGTGATTTGGTGGCTGGAGGGGTGGGTGAGTGAGGTGTGGACAGGGTAGGGGCGGCGATTGCTTGACCCGTTGATTCTCACGTAGAAAGTTATCGATCGATCGGCTTGTACGACTGTGTAGCGATGGCCCTGTCGCACAGAGATGGAGCGCGGTATCGTGAGCGCTCCTACTGGGACGAGCGCTACTCGGCCGGCGGGGAGGCGGTGGAGGAAGGCGAGCAGCGGGAGTGGTTCGGAGCTTACACGGCGCTCAAAGAGGCGCTACCCGAGGATCTTGATCGGAGCGGGGCCATCCTGGAGCTAGGTAAGGATGATACGGGGGGAGAGGAGGAGGGAGAGTGGTGGTGTCAATCGGAGCGGAATCTCCCCGGCTCAGTCTCGGTATGGCAAGGCTGTTGTTCTTCTACCGCAAGGTAAACACGGAACGTTGGGCCACAAGGTTGGTCTAACGTCAGCGCAACGTTGTCATGCCTTCTGAGAGTAATACGCGTTGTAAATTATCCAGTGGCAGTGATTCCAGGAGACGTGGGGCAGCAGGGATGTAGTTTGCAGTTGAGCGTTTTTAAGCGTCCTCTTTATTTGTGTACTGGACATCAACAACCCAGTAAAACACGCGAACAACGTTGGTCCGACATTGGTTGACGTAGGGACGACGTTGGCCGCACGTTTACAGGAATTGAAATAACACCAGATGCAATCGCACAGTTGCGGAGATATCGCCAAATCCGATATCGTGTGACGATGTATCACGATGGACCCTCGGTGTACCTCCTCTCTCTGTACTCCCCTCTTCATCCACGCGGTGTCGCTGTTACATCGGCAAATGGCCTGGCACGTTGCAATTGAGACATCCGACTTTGGGGGTGGGATCGGTGTGTCAGTTTGAGGTTTTAATTTCGTTCTCATAATCATAATATATTGTTTAATTGTCATCATAATTGTTACATTCACCTAGTTCACCTCGGAAATCTGGTGAGTTGAAAGGGTTTTCTTTTTCAAGATAGGGTGTTCAGGGTAAACTAAAATATTGGTATTTATATCATATAATAATAGGGTTCTTCCCCTTTTTTTCTGGCAACAAAACTGAAACCTTTTTTTACAAGGATTCATGTCTGCATTAACCACAATACCTGCAGTCAAAATGCAAACAAACAACACACTATGATAAAGTTTGATTTAAAGCTTTCATGACTGCAGAGATTAATATTCTTGGTTCTTTCGGTAAAGTCACGTAGAAGGGAAACGATAAAATTATAAAAATATAAAACAAGAAAATTCTCACGACGTTTCGATTGCAACACAAGCAATCATCATCAGGTGTGAAAACCACAGCAAGAAAATGTTCTTAAGGCTAATGGTTACTCCGACTACACAATCCGCAAAGCTATCACTCCAACCATGAAGAAGGACCCTCTTGAGGAACCTTTCAAAACCATCACTTTACCCTACATTGCGGGGATCACAAAAAAAGATCTCCAAAATCTTTAATAAACATAAGATCCAGGTCCGATTCAACACATTACAAAAAATCCCTGATCTGGTTCCGTCTGTAAAAGATATGATTCCGGACATACAGTACCCTGGCGTCTACAGACTAAGTTGCCTCTGTGGTAGTAGTTACATTGGAGAAACCAAACACCATGTCTCGGACCGCATTCGTGAACACAAAGCAGACCTAAAACACGGTAGGACCAACACCTCGGCCGTGGCAGATCACTGTTATAATTCAGTAGGCTCACATGACATTGACTTCTCCAAGACAGAGGTTCTTTGCAAGCCATCTGGCTACCATGAGAGATTCGTTCATAAGGTTATCCACATATACAGACACAGAGACAATTTCAACCGAGAAGATGGATTCTGGCTTAGCAATCACTGGAAGGATTTGATAAACCATTTCGGGTCTTAATTGTCTACGCTTATGGTGGCTTTCACACCGCATCCATTATTTCATAGATGGACTCGTCCATCTGAATAAACTGCCAAATCGCTCTCCGTGGTGCTAACGTTAAAAAAACCGCCACTTTTTAAAAAAATGTCTTGCTGTGGTTTCACACCTGATGATGATTGCTTGTGTTGCAGTCGAAACGTCGTGAGAATTTTATTGTTTTATATTTTTGTTATTTTATTGTTTCCCTTCTACGTGACTTTATCGAAAGAACCAAGACTACACTGATAATCTATGCATTGTCCTTGAAACTGATTGGCCCACACCAAGGGACGGCTTTCTTTTGAGCCTCGACCCAATTGGTGCTCGACCAGAGGACGCCAAGGACAATGCATATATATTATCAGTGTGTTTTTTGTTGGCATTTTGACTGCAAGTATTGTGGTTAATGCACACATTAATCCTTGTAAAAATGTTTCAGTTTTGTTGCCAGAAAAAAAGGGGAAAAGCCCTATTATTATAATATGTATATGTATGTTGAGCTTTTGACCCTGTCGTCCCCTGGTTCCTATGGCTCCGAGTCGGCACCGACTAAATATATAAATAATAATCCACGGTGGCGGGATGTTAACTACCTCGCGTGGTATACAGGAGGTCGTGGGTTCAATCCCGACCCTGACACCTGCTGTATATATGGAGTTTGCGTGTCTCTCTCCACGTGGTCGCATGGTTTTTTTCTCCGGGTCGTCCGGTTTTTCCCTCCACATTTCGAAACATGCGTAGAGAGTATTTGGCTTCTATACATTTCCACATAATCCACTTCGTTGAGCTATCATTTGTGGCCTGGTCACTTCTGAAAAAGAGCTATATAGATCAGTGGGCCTTACCTAGTAAAATAATAAATAATTAGTTTTTTTATTAAAGTGAAAAATAGAATGCACCGAAGGCCCCCATAGCTTCCAGTCTTCTGCCACAGGAAGACTACCAAAGGGATATAACTTGATTTATGATTGATTTCTGGGTCAGATCGCATAAAATAAAATGTGTGTTATAAACCCTCCACCCGACACAGCCAAACAGTTGCCACGTGAACAGACGTGCCGATTAATTACTGCTTAGACACTTAACCGGTAACGTCGGAGAGCAATCCACGCGGTTGTCAGCGTTGTGTAAAATGTCCTTGACCCTGGAATCGAACTTCTTTGGTAGAATTCCCATTTCCAAACAATTCCTTTGGTAGACTCTCCTGGTGGCAGAAGACATCTGGAAGCGGCGGCTCTACGAACTTATTCATTAAACATCTGCAGACACTTCCAGGAGAATCCTCCTCTGCTCTTGAACTTCTGAACATCGGGGGCCATAGGATCCAGGGGGCAGGCAGGACTCCGCAATATTATTTGTGTCAATGATGACCGTAATGGAACTCATCACCGTATGTATACGTATGTTGAACTTCTTTCGCACCGTACACAGCCCACCGTGCTAATCGGAGGTGCGAGAGAAGGACAACAAACTAAACACAAACAGCAGTTCGAAAGAAATGTCACCGGGGCGTGACTACGACCGAGACTGCTGAACCAAAGGCCAGAGCGGCCCGTGACTGCCCGTGACTGCCCGTGACGAGGCGGAGTAACCGAGTCCCTACGGAGTGAAGGCCCGGACTGAGATAATCCAGTAGCGCCACTCAAGTTACTCGTGACGGCGGTGCACCGAGGAAGACCAACGCCTAGTAATTGGCTACACTGTACGCGCACATACATATGTTGAACTTCTTTGGCGCCATACGTAGCCAACCGTCCTAATCAGGGGTGCAGATTTATGGAGTTCACCGCTTTTGGCTGAGCTGATAGCGGGTGACGGTGATAGGCGAGCATAAACTCCTCGGGTGAAGTCCAGATTCCAGACCCTTCCTCTTTTTCACCTCTGCCCAAGACTCGCTGCCTCCTCCTCCTCAACATTTATGTGCCACATGCTCCTGTGCAGTGCTCGTGAGATGAGTTTGCATTTAGCTGCTACAGCATTTGAATTCCCAGGTGTGTGCAGGTGCGTATTATACAGGTATGCATTGTTTTTGTACACAGGTATGTAGCGTGTGTATAGTAGGGAAAGGTATGTTTATGGATGGACAGGTGTGTAATGTGTACCTAGGGTGATGTGTAAACATTGTCACTGGGAAGATAAAGGTGGACCCCCTCGTGTGCCGTGCCAGCCTTCATAGGTGCTCACTACCAGACATTTACCCAAAAGTCTGTTCATGCTAAAAGGGTCGATCTTTGTCTTTTTTTTTACGTGTAATATATAGTTGTATGTGCATAACAGGCGTGTTTATGTACAGTGAGGGAAAAAAGTATTTGATCCCCTGCTGATTTTGTACGTTTGCCCACTAACAAAGAAATGATAAGTCTATAATTGTAATGGTAGGTTTAATTGAACAGTCAGAGACAGAATAACAACAAGAAAATCCAGAAAAACGCATGTCAAAAATGTTATAAATTGATTTGCATTTTAATGAGGGAAATAAGTATTTGACTCCCTCTCAATCAGAAAGATTTCTGGCTCCCAGGTGTCTTTTATACAGGTAACGAGCTGAGAATAGGAGCACACTCTTAAAGGGAGTGCTCCTAATCTCAGCTTGTTACCGGTATAAAAGACACCTGTCCACAGAAGCAATCAATCAATTAGATTCCAAATTCTCCACCATGTTCAAGACCAAAGAGCTCTCAGAGGATGTCAAGGACACTATTGTAGACCTACACAAGGCTGGAATGGGCTACAAGACCATTGCCAAGCAGCTTGGTGAGAAGGTGACAACAGTTGGTGCGATTATTCACAAATGGAAGAAACACAAAAGAACTGTCAATCTCCCTCGGCCTGGGGCTCCATGCAAGATCTCACTTCGTGGAGTTGCAATGATCATGAGAACGGTGAGGAATCATCCCAGAACTACACGGGAGGATCTTGTCAATGATCTCAAGGCAGCTGAGACCATAGTCACCAAGAAAACAATTGGTAACACATTACGCCGTGAAGGACTGAAATCCTGCAGCGCTCGCAAGGTCCCCCTGCTCAAGAAAGCACATATACATGCCCGTCTGAAGTTTGCCAATGAACATCTGAATGATTCAGAGGACAACTGGGTGAAAGTGTTGTGGTCAGATGAGACCAAAATGGAGCTCTTTGGCATCAACTCAACTCGCCGTGTTTGGAGGAGGAATGCTGCCTATGACCCCAAGAACACCATCCCCACCTTCTTTGGTTCTTTCGGTAAAGTCACGTAGAATGAGAATAAAATAATAAATTAATAAAGTAAAATAACACAATAAAATTCTCACGACGTTTCGGCCACAACACAAGCGGCCTTCTTCAGGTGAAAGGAACAGACCCGTCGGGACGACAGAGCTTCAATGAACGTTGTT